GAATCAAAGTTATCTTGTCCCAAAGCATCGACCAATGAAATTGCTTAGCTCTAGCTTGAAATGTTAATCACTGAACTCGGTCAAGACATTCACCTAATGAACATCTACATCAAGTTTAAACATTCTACCTCAATTAAAAGCAGGGTGGTTATGTTCCAAAGTCTTGACCAATCAAATTGCTTATTGCTCTTTAGCTAAGCAGAAAATTCTCATCATCGAACTTAAGTTAAGGTAATGATATGATGAATCTATACTGGGAGTTTCATCACTCTCACTTAATTATGACAAAGTTATCGGGCCCCAAAGCATTGACCAATCAGATTGCTAATCTCTGCTTACCGTAAGCAGAAAATGCTCATTATCGAACTCAGTCAAGGCATTGACCTAATAAACACCTACACCAAGTTTGAACATTCTAGCTCAATTATAAAGATAGTTATTGTGTTCCAAAGTCTCGGCCAATCAAATTGCTTATCGCTCTACTTACCCTGAGCAGAAAATGCTCATTATCGAACTTAGTCAAGGTATTGAAGTAATGAAACTATATTCCAAGTTTCATCACTCTCACTTAATTAGAACTAAAGTTATCGTACCCCAGAGCATCAACCAATCAAATTGCTTATCTCTGCTTACCCTAAGCAGAAAATGCAGAGTTATTGTGTACTAAAAAGTGTGACGGAGTCTGACAGACAGACGTACGAGCCCATTTTAATTGTTACTTGCTTTATTCGAAAGGCTATTTTAGAACTGTGGTATCAATCTGTTTCAGAGATATTGCGAGTACCTTCTTATAACTCAGTACAGGATGACTGACCTTTATAAGTTCAAGTATGGTTAGATCTAATTGATAAGTCCAACTTCTAATTTGGTCTAAAAGATGTAAAGAGGGCTAGTGCTAATCCCAACCTTAACCCTGGACCTATACCCAAACCTTAAAGGGACAATAACACTCTTGTTGGCTTGACAGCTCCAGAAAATAAAAAAATAGCCTTATTCTAAGTACTAGATGTATTAGTGTCTTACCTGTTGTGTAAATTATCCAGTAAATCCTATTTTACTTGTTGAGAGGGTTCAAAATTGTTTTTAAATCCAAGTCACATTTGAAAAGCTTTACGTACCGTCAGGCTTTTCAAATCATTTAGTTGAATTTTTCCAATTTTTTAAATTAGGTGTGTTAAGATAAAATTTGTATCATCAATTAATTGGAATATTGTAAAATAGTACAATTTGTTGACCAGAATAAAGATTGGGACATATTATTCAGTTACAACAAGAGTGGTATTGAGCCTTTAAACTACAATCTTGCCAAATATCAGTGCCTTAACCTTATTAAGATCTCAGCGAGCTTGGCGAAAATTGAGTTGAACTTAACAAATAGATATTTTTTTCTTTTGTCAGTAATTTGGACATTTACAACACATGAAAATCTGAGTAATAACCTATGAAGTAATTATCAGAAAACATTAGAATTTGTTTTGATATTTTGTCTCATGATCAAGGGCCCAAACTCTGGCAGTAACTATCGGAAATCGTTGAAAATGAATAGGATTCTTTGTCTCATGACCTTAAATACTGTGCATAAGTTTAAAATCAATCAAATATTAACTTTAGCCTCATGAGCTTAAACAAGATTTTTCAAAGAGGTCAAGGGCTATAACTCTGGCAGTAATTATTGAAAATCAATTGCCATTGGATATCAACTTTAGCCTCTAGAGCACCAACAAGGTGTTTCATAAAGATCAAGGGCCATAACTCTGGCAGTAACTATTGGAAATTGTTGAAAATCAATAGGTTTCTTCGTCCCATGTATAACTTTAAGCGTCCACAGGCAATTGTAGATGTTGGAACGTCGGACGGACAGGGGTGACAACATTCGTCCACATTTTAAATGGGCATTATGCAAGAGTTAAATCTGTTACTTGCATGTTACTTAAACTATTTTAATAGTTAGACATTTGTTAACATGACAAGACCATAATCAACTCTCGATGCTATTGGATGTCTCCATTAAGTAGATTAGAACGGTTTGGACATTTAATAATTTAATTCAAATATAGGTTGCCGGGCAACGAAACATACGCCCACAGCAGCTATATCGTCCGGGCAGTCAACAAGAGTTGTTGCATATTTTTACTTTTTTCGGTAATGAAACATTGATAATACATTAAAATCTGATTAAGAGTAACAACTCATTAAGTAATTATCAGAAAACCATTAGAATTTGTTTGGTTTTTATGAAGTTCTGCACCATCCTAACACCTAGTATACAAAACTTTTAATATCATGGATTTAGCTGTTCAAGTCATAAAGATTCATTGATAATCAATATACTTGTTCGTCTCAAGACCTTAAACTCTGTGTATCAATCTGAAGTCAATCGGATGACAACTTTAGCCTCTAGAGCGTCCACAAGATTTTTCAAAGTGATCAAGGGCCATAACTCTGGCAGTAATTATCGGAAATCGCTGAAAATCAATAGGCTTCTTCATCTCATGACCTTAAACACTGTGTATAAATTTAAAGTCAATCGGATATCAACTTTAGCCTCTAGAGCATCCACAAGATTTTTCGAAGTGATCAAGGGCCATAACTCTGGCAGTAATTATCTGAAATCGCTGAAAATCAATAGGCTTCTTTGTCTCATGATCTTGAACACTGTGTATAAATTTAAAATCAATCGGATATTAACTTTAGCCTCTTGAGCGTCCACAAGATTTTTCAAAGCGATCAAGGGCCATAACTCTGGCAGTAATTATCGAAAATCGCTGAAAATCAATAGGCTTCTTCGTCTCATGACCTTAAACACTATGTATAAATCTATAAAGCGTCCACAACCGGACTGACGGATGGGGGCGACAACAATATACAACCACATTTCAATGTGGGCGTATAAAAATGGAGAAGAAAATGAAATGAAATGGGGTTTAACGTCCTACTGTTCTGCTCCTATACTGGGCTAATGAAGACGGGCATACGCCATACAGTGTGCTATGAGGGAAATTTTGCCCGGGCAGCGACACTATCGCCTACTCTTATATCGAATTCCAACTGCCAAGGGATCTTTTACGTGCATTCCAATGTATACACGGGACCTTGGTTTTTCGTCGCCTCCAAAGGACTAAACAGCTGTCCTTGTCAGGCCCTCCGTCCTGCATCACTGACAAGGGGGAACCACGCCGGAAAATCTGGATGAACTTTCTTGACCAATGCAGGGATCGAACACCCGACCTCCAGGCTAGCGAGCCAGCGTCTTACCCACTTAGCCAAAATGGAGAAGAGAGGCTAATCTTCGAACAACCAGTGCGGCGGTTACAATCAATGCACACATCTTGTCAACCTTCAAAGGCTAATATCTTTGCTCAGAATAAAGGAATTTGAATGAAATTTTCAATAGATTCATTTTGCATTCTCTTATCTAATTCTTATAAAATGCTTTAATTTGGGCGTATAAAAATGACCGTAATATGTGTTTCAAAATAACCGTAACATTAATCTGGGGTTTTATCAATATGCTATCTCACAAATATAGAACAGATAAATGGGGAAACCAAAGTGTTCAAGGCTCATAATGGGGGCGACGACAATATACGACCAGAAGTGAAACACTTAACACAATAAAACCACTAAAGTTACAATTTATATTTCAATTTTTTTTTATTTTTGATGGGTCAGTCTTAGATTTTTATGCATCAGCAATGGTCACCTCAACTTCCACACCTGGTTCAATACTGATGGATGTCTAGCAATGGTTAAAGAAATATAACTATTCAATTTCTGCAGAAAACAATTCAGCTTTCAACATTAAAAGATTAATCAACGGCAAAATATAACAAATGATCTAAATATTTCGATATACTGAATTTTTATCATATTTGAGAAGAAATAAAAGGAAATGTATGTTGACTAATTAATTTCATATAATATATTCGTATAAGTGGGATCTACTCAGATAAAATTGTTTGGACCCTTTGATCCTGCATGTTTTTCTTATTAAATTTCTGTGCATTAAGTTGGATTTCTTAAGTCGGATCTTCCCTGAGGTAACATGGTGATGTTCACTAAAACATGGTAAATATGGCTAGCTTCAGTGGTAGTGATGTAGACTCAATTCTAACACCTAGGCATAAAAAGGTGTATAATTCAAACTACGATATATTTTTAGTCTAATAAAAGGATACAATCTGCTTGACGATCTCGGAAGGTGAGTGAAGATCAATGATACGTTTGTGAATTCTCATCTGGAATCTGTCCCAAGTTTTTGAACCTTCTCCACAGGGAGTTTTACGAGTTGTAATTCTCAGGATACGTGTTGGCATCCTCACTGGTCCACGAACCTTGAGTTGCTTGTCTTTAGCTCCACTGATTAAATCAGTACATACTGAAATATATTAATGTAATTATTGTAATATGTAATATATAATTTACATATCATTACTTTCCTCTGTGTAGCACCATTTTATGTAGTCTGTTGAGGCAGCCTTACCAAACTAGAACAAAGCTAACCGATTTTGAAATGGGGTTTAGTGCCCTACTAATCTGCACTGACTGGACTAATGAAGACGGGCATACCCCACGCAGTGTGCTATGAGGGAAATTTTACCTAAAAAGCTACACTACGACCTACACTTATTTTGAATTCTGTCAATGGTTCGTTTACACCAATGTGTACACAGGACGTCAGTTTTTTTCCCCCCATCTGAATGACTATACATTGTCCCTTGCAAGGCCCTCTTTCCTACTCCACAGACAAGGGGAAACCACGTTGGAAAATCCTGATGAACTTGCTCGCCCAGTGATTGAACACAGGACCGTAAGCTTACTCACTGAGCCACTGTGATTCCCTTGTGATTTTTGTTTGAAACAATAGGTTATGGGACTGAACGTAATTAGATTTTATAGATTTGAAATTAATTTCAAGAATTTAGGCTATAATAAGCATTTAAATTTTATCTTACCTTTTTCAAGACTCTTGATGTTGCGGCTTGTCAAAGTAATTCTGATTCTGTGGATCTTTGCTTCCTCAGTTGGAGGGGCTTTGGAGGTTTCTTTAGCGTAGGACTGAAAAGTTCAATTTGAAAAACAATAAGATATAAATATAAATTTAGTTCCAGCGTCCAGGAACTATTTAAAGTGACTGATGGATTGAGTTTAATTATGGTTTGAGAGAAATTATTACTATTCTATTTCTGTTGTAGTAATAACAGTTTTATTACACCATATCACTATAATAAACTATACTGAGTACTACTAGAACTTTAATAGTACAAAGTGTATGTAATTCACGTGGGGATAACATTATGTCGAATATAGGAGCAACAAACATTGCTATACATAAAAATGACTTAAGCGATTGATAACTCACCTTTCATGGCAAGATTTGAAAGCAACATTATAATTATTGTAAAAAATCTATTGTTAATGATGCTAAATAACAGTAAAATTTGGTTTTTTGGTTGTTACAGGAACTTTAGAAAATTACATTTCTTTTTTTAGTTTTTTAATTTGCTTTATAATTAAACATACATTATGCAAGAGCTAAATCTGCCTATTGCAAGTATTTCTTTAGGCCTGAAATGTTATATAAACTATTAATTAGACATTTATTAACAAAACAAGACTATAATCAACTATCGACGGCATCGGATAGTCAAGATTTTCACTTGATTAGAGCGGTTCGCCATTTAAAAATTTAATTTAAAAATGGGAAAGCAAGGTTAAGTCTCGAATATACATGTACCAGTGCCCTGGTTACTGCAAAGCACAAAACTACAAACTGTGATAACTTGGCTCAGAATAAAGTAATTTGAATGAAATTTTCAATATTTTCATTATCTATTTTTGAGCTATTATAGTAAGAATGGTCAGCTCTATCTAAATCTTAAAAAATGTATCTTTAACTATACCGAGCGGCATATTTTGGTTTAGTACAATTAATATCTCGGAAGCTTGCTTGTTAGACAAGAATAGAATACTAGTACTAGTAGTAATTACAAGGTTCTCAAAACAACTGTTGAGTTGCCTCTAGCAAGTAATTAAATTAGATTTAGTTTAGCGCGACTAATTTCAAACCAAAGGCATGTAACTATAACCAAGCATTTCAATATGATGCTTGACGGAAATTTTTAATATAGTGTTTATTCAGAAATAATTGTAAGAACCCAATATTATACTTTTTAACAGCTATAGTCACACTGGGACACTAATCTCCTACAATATAATTAAATGTATTTATTGTTTTAATCTTGATCTTTTATCAACATAAGTATTATTGTATAGTTGTTGAATAGCATTAAGTAGGCTCATTGTTTTTATTTACCATTTAATTAACTATTTAAATTAAGTCACTAGTGGCAACATTTTATAATTGTTTATTGTACATCAAATTGAACTTAAAACTAATAGAGATTAGTACCTTGACAACAAAGTCATAAATTGTAGAGATATATATTGTAATTATCAAAGAATGCACACCATATTGTTCATTCCTTTTTAGTTGTTAGTCGATTTTAATGTTGTTACTGCTTGCATAAATTCATATCCAGATTATACGGTTGTTCCCGTTTTATGGAAGTAACCCACTAGGTTACATAACTATTTTGCATTCAAACATGCTCTGACGTAATGGCCCCTTGCCATTTACCTTTTCACTATTTTCAGTCTATTTTTTTTTATTGATGTTTAAATGGCTATAATTTGTTAAATACACCATTACTGTTTATATAGTGACTATAAATGTGAGAAACTATGTTAAGTCTAAAAGTGAAATGAAATGAAATGGAGTTTAACGTCCTACTGTTCTGCTCCTAACCTGGGCTACTCTTATATCGAATTCCAACTGCCAAGGGATCTTTTACGTGCACACCAATCAGGGCTGTCGGTAATTTTTCACAGTTGATTAGCAGCACTGCTAATCAAAATGTCCAATTTTGCCAAATTTGATTAGCAAATTTAAAAATTGATTAGCAGTTTTTCAGTTTCAACGTAAAACACCTAAATAACAAGATATTACTTTAATTCATAACGAATTGAAATATGATTAGATTCCATTCTGACTATTCTTAGATTTTTTAGCACTGCCACAAGTACTTGTGACAGTTTGTGAATGTGATGTAGACATTTAGTTAGGTCTTATGTCTGAAGCCAATTCTTGACAGTGACTTCCGAAGCCCCACTCATTTTAATTGTATTTTTTTTGTTACGTTAGAAATCTTCGTTAGAAAACAATTGTCTGCTTTTTATCGTGTATTATTATTTTTGTTCAATCGGGCGCACCTCGATTAACTAGACACACGCGATATAAACAATAATATTTTACGGGAATTTTTACTTTGATTTATCATTTTACAATACGTTAACATGTATTTATTTTTTTTATATTTTATTTACAATACGTGGGAGATACACTGGATTTATTTCTTTCAAAATGAATATGATATAATTACTTGATGTCTCACAACGTGAGTGGTACTACTTGATTCCCTATTTCCGGTTTAATAGTCCCTATTCATAGAGTTATGTCCCTGTGTTATATAGTATTGTGTCTGGGCAGTTCGAGAAGAAAATGTCACACGGAGAATTCAGTTTTGTTTATAAAATTTTATTCAACATTTTATACACGTTGAAAGTGTTGAGTAAGCCTTCTAGTCTTCAAAATGTGGATTATTCTTGTGTCAATATCCAAAATGACAGGCATATTAATGATTCGCAGTAACTGCGAATCAAAAACGTTAGATTTTAATTTTTGGTTAGCAACGGACAAAATATGTATCGCAAATTGCGCTGCGATACTGGTTGTCGGCAGCCCTGACGCCAATATGTACACGGGACCTCGGTTTTTCGTCCTATCCGAACGACTAGACAGCTTTCCTTGTCAGCCCCTCCGTCCTGCATCACTGATAAGGGAGAACCACGCCGGAAAATCTGGATGAACTTTCTCGGCCAATGCAGGGATCGAACACCCGACCTAAGACTAAAAGTAAGGCTTGTTATGTATATAAATACTAAAATAGTGGTATAATTGTTGAAATATTTTACATGCACTCCAGTGGCCTCTGGTTTCTTGATCCATTTAAAAGACTAGGTAACACTTTTCTCGTCAATCCTGTAGGCGATAGGCCTACCCATGACAAGTAAGAACCGGGATGAAAAATTCCATAGTTATCTCGTTTAAAGCAGTGATACGAACCAGAAAACAATCTAGCCTGCAACAAATGTTCCTACTCCTAATCTTGTTTCACTTTGAGGATTAGCATAAAGGCTAGAAATAATCAGTGCTAAGCCAAGTCACTTATTACCTTTGTCATCATTTTTTGCTTTTGCAGTGTAGACTCATAGCATTGAAGCGAAGTTAAGAAAGCTCGCTCTGTTGCTTCGTGAAACCCAAGGTAAGAATTTGATATGAACATAGCAGGCCCGACGACAGGACCCCCCCCCCCATCCCCATAATTTGGCCGGAAGTAACTATTCAGTTAGATACAGTGACATAACTAGACGAGGCCTGATATTAAAATGGAAGTGAGACTTCTAGAAGTAGAACGTAGGCTTTCAGAAGAAAAAACCTTGCTATGCACTATACTGATTCCTGGGTTGAAAAAATCTCTCCCCTAAAAGAGCTCTCCCAGTTTCGATAAGAGTGATTTAGAAATTAAGGAGAGTGATCTGATATTACGGATAGTGATTAGTTGTATGTATGGGAAATGGTTCTGAAGATCAATAACTGTGTGTAAGGGGTCATTCCTGATTACATAAATCATAATAAACATTGTTTGTTAAATAATAGCACTCATAGTCGTACGGTAAAACTTCTGCTATCGTCTATAACTACATACGGTATTCCAATAGAAATACTTGTCGACATTTCTAAATATTTATAGGTTGTAAAAATTTGTTTAAAAACATAACCCCTATTCATAATATAATCAAACGCTTGAAAATTCCATCAAAATATAATCTATTTTTTCAAAATTCTCATTGGAAATTTTCACGTGCCATCTCTTGTAATTTTTCACGTCTCGCGAGAGTTATACTTTACATTTCAGTTAAATTAACCAATGACGCATAGGCGCCATCTATTTTTAGCAACATATTCATCAGAATTTTATTACCATGTGCGATCACAATCACATTATACACTAATTGAATACAGTAAGTAAATGTTCACAATGACAGCATCGCGGCCATCGGGATGCGAGTATTTCACATTCTTTTGAAAAAAAACAACATATGTCCATGATTTACAAATAATGAGAGCTATTTTCAATTTTAAGCCGGGGAAGAAACACCTCCCCTTGGTCGACATTCAGGTGCTGGGGAGCGATTGCACGCCTCAAAACAACTGGGGCCCACAAGCTAAAAATGTGATTTTTCGTAAAATCAGGAGCCATAATCCAATAAGTTATGGCTCGATATGAGCCAATATTGAAAGAAATTGAGATCTTTTGGTTATAAACAATTTTTGACCCCTACTCCTAGTGTCCACAACCTTGGTATTACGCATATATATATTTCCAGTTCAGCATCACAGGAAAGTACCATCGACTGCAGTGCTTTCATGGTAAGGGTCAAGGGATTTAAAATAGAATTAAAAGTTCATTTCATTGCCGAGTAATTCTACTAGCCAGAAATCGCTTAGAAAGTGTCTTCGACAATCTAAACCCCCGAAAGCTTCTGGGACCTAGGCGGCCCTTGGTCCCTCGACTAAATTCTAAGGATGGTAGCCCCCACCCCCACCAAATCACTCAGGAATTGCTTCCGCTGGCTTGGCACCAGGTATGGTGAAGCTAAGAGTAAGAAGTTGCTTGACTTTCTTCGCACCGATTTTTTCTCCAGTTCAAACTGAACCACTTATTGAGACATTGAAAAATATTTTTAATTTTGCAGGAAATAAAGAGCGAAAGGGTACTTAGGGGCTGGCATGAGGACTTAAAAAAATATTATTGCATGGATATACGGCCAAAGGGGGGAATAACTCAATGGTTTTACGTATAAATTACAAGGTGTTTATTTTCACTTTATAAACATAATTTTGAACCAGTTTCTTTGAAATAACCTTTTACTAATTACTTAAGGATAAAACTTATATACCATTTTATATGCTGGCCGACGTAATCAAAGTTTTTTTTATCTTTGAACAGCGGTGAGCCAGAAATCTTCTTCTAACTACCACGAGGTTGATAACAAAAGGAAGAGCGCATGAACGGAAATGAATGATATGGACTTTTCTATTTTAAGAAAAAGGGGTGAAAGAGTTTAATATAGTTGATATTTTGCAGCTATTCAAATGCACCCTGATTATTATAACTTGATAAAAAATTATTAATACTATTATTTTTCGCCTTATTTTTTTATTCTTAATTTGTCTGAAAATAGTACCTAAGCGATATATTATAACTTTTAAATATAACGGTATCTAGGCCTATCCTTTCCTACTATTACGAAAATAGACAGGTCCGTAGAACATCTTAGTGTACATCATTCATAATATTTATTTACACTCGTTGCACCGTGTAAAATCCAACGACGCTTCTGATCATCCGCCGAAACCTTGTAAAATACTATTATATTTTATGTCAGATGGATTAGCTTCTACTGAGGTCGAAAAATAAAAGTATCGGTTTCCAAAAAGCACACCGGTTGTGACGTCACATTTAGTTCCACGTTCAAAGCAACATGGCGACCAAGGTTTGTATGCGAAATGGAATGTCACTCGAAACAGTGATTTCTTGTAGAACTATCATAGATAATGAATACATTTTATTTTTATTAACACAAAGACTAGATAACATTTGCTGTTAAGTAAATTAAGAATAATGTTACTGTATGAAATGATAGATGTAACAATAACCTCATCATGAATGATCACCGTGACGATTTTTTATTTATTGATTCATAATTTTTACGATATATTTTAGGCCTAGTTTTTAGTACTTTGCCAAGTTTTGCCATTAACAAATACATGTACATCCATAATAAACTTTTCTTCTTTTTAGTCTCTGAGGGGTTGGTTAAGACACCAAGTATAGTTGCATTTACACCATCCATAAAAGTGATGCGACATTCTATCTCACACTCAGTCTCACTCTCAGTCATAGTCATGAATTTGAAAGCTTAAAATTGACATTTGTTGGCTACTGAATTAGATTAATAAATATATTGCATAAGATCAGATAGGCCTATATGAGATAGTATACCTGCTTTCTGCAATGACATGTCATTACGGTCCCGCGTCATTTCGGACTCGACGTTTCGGACTTGGGTAGGTGACATTTCGGACTCGGGAATTAGCTGAAAGGAAAGGTTGAACACAACTGTCAAATCAATCTACATGTATAATAAGCCAAAAGCGATTTTAAAAATGGATAACGCACCGTCACCGTATAGATCTCTCTAGGAACTGCAAAATTTTCAATGTTGAATGTTTATGAAAAGAATGTTTTATTTCTGTAATATGTATATAAAAAGCAGCTGATGAATTTATTAGAAACAGGCCAATTCAAAACATGAAAGAACATATTAACATGAAACACATGGTTATTAAAAGACTCTACCAAACGATAAAACATAGTTGCACTTATGGTTCTTTATCATCGTTTCTGTAAAAGTAATTTATTTTTTTAAGACAGAATAATATACTGTAGAATTTATTTCAAAATGACCTGCACTGTTTTTACAAGCCACTAGAAATTTTTAACGATAATCCGTAAGCTATACGTTGACATGCATTCATCGACAAGCCTGCCATAGATAGCAGTACCAATCGATAAATTAGTGCGAACAAAGAAAACTCTTTTTGGAAAAAATTAGAAATGTAATGAGTGTGATACCGTAGAACATAATTTATCTTGTTTGTGGCCTGTATCGCCATCCACTTAGCTGCATCATTAACTACATACATGCGCTTGATTTTTTTATTTTTTTTATCTTTCATCTGTTCAGCAGTGGCATCGAAAAATGACATATTAACTGTTGTCTTTTATGCCACACCATTTGACTGCTTGGGCAAACTTGTGTCATCACAAAGTGCAATGAAGCATCATGAAAATTATATTGATATTGCATGAATTTTGATCAATGATCATCATTTGAGGCATTTTGAGTGCCTTGCAATATTGTGAAAGTTGAATCTCTAAAAATATCAATCTAAAATATATTTTTTAGAAATGTTTAAAATAAATCCCAATGGTAATTACATTGTAATAATTGTATTGATAATGTAGATATTGATTTATTTTTTAGGATCACATGATGTCACCTCCAGTTTTAGTTTGTATTTTACTGGTTTTAAGAGGTGTTAATAGTTTTTATGTTCCTGGAGTAGCACCTGTAGAGTTTTCTGATGGAGATATTGTAGAAGTGAAGGTTAGTGGTGCAGATCTGTTTCCTTGTTATGTTAGAATGATTGACTACATATACCTACAAATAAGCAAACCAGCGGTTGAAGGGCAAGATACACCCACATTTTGCAAGAGTAGGATAGAGAACAAGCTAGAAAAAAAGAGTTTTTTCAGGCGCCATAATCTAGGAAGTTATGGTCTGAAATGCACGATTATCGAAAGGGACTGAAATGTTTTGGGATATAAAGTTATAGTTTAAGTTTCATCAAAATTGGATAAAAATTGTGACATCTAGAGAGTCCACAACCTTTGTAGGACAGCGATTTTCCCTTTTCCAATTTTAGGAGAGATTTTTTTGGACTCTCCAGGAATTTATTCACATGAAGGCCTTTATAAGGCTGTCGAGTGGACGTTAAACCCCATTTCTCTCTCTCTCTCCTTTATAAGGCACTGATCATTATCCTTTATAAGTTATTGTTAATTAAATTATTATGTTTTTAGGCTGTAAAATTAACCAGTGTAAAAACACAGCTTCCATATGAATACTATTCACTACCATTTTGCAAACCAGCAAAGGGAGTAGTGCATAAAATAGAAAACTTGGGTAAGTTTATTTTTAAAGATTAAAGAAGTTATTTGAAAGTTTTCAGTGGTAGATGTTAAATTCTTATCTTTGAATATTAATGGTTTCATATAAAAAATTGATCTAAAGGGGAACTTCCAGAATTCACAGAGCACAGTAAATTAAAGTGAGGTTTGAGTTTTGAATAAAGATATTGCGCCAAAAGGAAGTGATTGCTAGAGTTGCTAAGTAAATGAGGTTACCGGGTATGTAACTTATGTATTTAAAATATTATTGTTTAAAAAAATGTGTCCTTCAAATAAAAGATTAGCAGATAGACAGTAGTAATGGTATACACACACACACCCTAGTCCACCAACTCATAGAGTAGGCATCTTGGTATAAAAATAAGCAACAAAATTCTCAAATGCACATTGAAATAAGTTCTTACTTATAGCTTATTAAACATGAATAACCGATTTTAAAATCAGTAACAAAATTTCATTATGCCTTTTCCACGTACAGTACAGTTACTTTTTCAAAAATATAACTCTTTATAAGAGCAGATTTACTGTCTGAATATTGTAACAAATGAATTGAATTCACTTTTTTCCCTAATAGAAATCTGAACAGTTATCAATATGCCTGAGGCGATATACATGTAACCTGATCTCCATATATTTATGATACTTCACTGTTTTATATTTGGTTATGTAACTTGTCTTTATTAGGTTATCTCTCCTTTGAAATTAATCTTTAGCCAAGGGCATGATTTTTTTTATTACAATACAATATCAGTTTCAATTGTAAAAAAGGTGAGGATTTAAAGAAAATGGTAATGCTAAAAACAACGATAGTGTGATAGCAAACAATAAATTCTACTTGGCAGTAATATGTTAAAATTTGTTGTATCCTTACCTTTCAAGGAACATATTGTAAAAATATGAATGTTTAGATTATGTAATTTCTTACATAAATATTCTTTTTAACAACTTTCTTTCTTTCAAAAAGTTTTAAGAGACAAATTAGATCTAAAATTGATTACTGCACCTGTGCTATGCATCATAACAAGCAGTTAGAATATCACTGGAATGTCTTTATAGGACATATAATTCTCTGTAATATGCATTTCCTATAACCACCATTTACTACTATAGCTGCTTTGTGATGATAAAGTCAGTAGGGGATGTTATGCTTATTCATGACAATTTGTCAACCGATGAGTTAAAACAAGAAAACAAAGAGTTAGGCTTCAAAGCTTTTTTTATTTATCTTATTAATAGGTTATTGTGTCAAAAGTATTTAAAATTTAATAAACTTTCTTCTGTTTAAAAAATACTGTTATTTTCTTCAGGTGAAGTTCTTAGAGGAGATAGAATAGTGAATACTGCTTATGAGGTAGGTCTTGTAATATTTAGAAGGTCTAAACATGTGAACTTCAAAGTTCTCACTAGAAAATACTTGACAATGGATTTCAAAAATGTAAAATAGATTTTACTGCCCTGTTTTATATTAATCCCAACAGTTTAAAATTTGATAGGGTTCAAAAAATCCGTGAAGAACTCTGCCATAAATTAAAGGTAAATGAGAAGATAACAACATTTTGCTATATAGTTTTTCGTTTAGACCAATGAATAATAAATTTGATTTTGAAGTAAATACCTGTAGAGTATTCAAAAAGAATTGTGGACGGATGGCACTGGATGAAGACATTGACAATATACTTCTACATTAAATGTGGGCTAACAACAAAGGCCTTTTATTATTAATGGCATGGGCAGAATACCAATAGTTTCTTATTTTAACATTTGGCAAATTTCTGTACTGGTAAGCCTATTAATTATTATTGTCCCCTGCCTTTCAAAGAAAGTCCCCTGAAAGCAGGGGACTATTAAAATGGGTTCGTCCGTCTGTCTGTCTGTCTGTCACACTTTTTGGGACACAATAACTCTCCTTCTAATTGAGCTAGAATGTTCAAACTTGGTGTAGGTGTTTATTAGGTCAATGCCTTGATGGAGTTCGAAGATGAGCATTTTCGGCTTAGGGTAAGCAGAGATAAGCAATTTGATTGGTTGATGCTTTGGGACACGATAACTTTAGTTCTAATTAAGTCAGAGTGATGAAGCTTGGTGTATAGTTTCATTACATCAATACCTTGAATAAGTTCGATAATGAGCATTTTCTGCTCGGGGTAAGCAGAGCGATAAGCAATTTGATTGGCCGAGACTTTGGAACACAATAACTCTCTTTATAATTGAGCTAGAATGTTCAAACTTGGTGTAGGTGTTTATTAGGTCAATACCTTGACTAAGTTCGACAATGAGCATTTCCTGCTTAGGGTAAGCAGAGTGATAAGCAATTTGATTGGTCGAGACTTTGGAACACAATAACTCTCATTTTAATTGAGTTAGAATGTTCACACTTGGCGTAGGTGTCAATTAGGTGAATGCCTTGATGGAGTTTGAAGATGGGAATTTTCCGCTAAGGGTAAGCAGAGATAAGCAGTTTGATGCTTTGGGACACGATAACTTTGGTTCTAATTAAGTGAAAGTGAGGACACTTGGTGTATAGATTTATTATATGAATACCTTAACTAAGTTTGATAATGAACATTTTTTGCTGAGGGTAAGCAGAGTGATAAGCAATTTGATTGGTCGAAACTTTGGAACACAATAACTCTCCTAATTGAGGTAGAATGTTCAAACTTGGCATAGGTGTCTATTAGGTGAATGTTTAAACTTGATGTACATGTAGATGTTCATTAGGTGAATGTCTTGACTGAGTTCAGTAATTAACATTTCGAGCTGAAGCTAAGCAGAGCTAATTGATTTCATTTCATCTGATAGAGAGTGATGAAACTTAGTGAAAAAAATAAATGTGCGATTAATTAATATGTGTCATCTATTTATTTTGCAATTTCGGCTGGGGACATCAGCCTCACTGTTGGCTTGTTAATATCAATAATGATGATTTATTTTTTGTTAGATTCTTATGAAGAAACCTATAGCATGTAAGTCCTCATGTCCCGAGAACAAACAATTAGTAACTGATGCTCAATCTAAGGTTATTATTGACAGAATAAAACACAACTATTATGTTCATTTGTAAGTATAACTTTAAACATTTTCTGATGAACTATTTCTGAACAGTTTATGGTACTAGTGGCCAATATCTTGATACTTATTTGAAATAGTTTTATTTCAGACAATAGCACAAGACTGACTAATGTGCTTGGACATTGCTGTGTGAGTGAAATTTAGCACACAGGGGAGAATATCGAAATGGGTAGTAAATCGTATAGTGTAGCACCATGGGTCTTTCTGTCAGACATGGAGAGCAGAGGACATGCTGATACCGGTCGCCACCTCCGGTGTATGACCCATGCATCTTTTCTTACTACATATCTTAGTGGCCTTGTGATCGTCTAGTATTTTCACCTGTCCTCTTTGCTTCCACTTCACGTTGTGTATTTACTTCACTGTTTTCTCAGTTAAGACGTTTGTCTTACCAGGAATAACAATGCAACGGTTCGTTTTTACATTTTATATGTCATGGCTGGATACATATAAGCATACTTTACAATAGAAATTGTCACATCTTTTCCCTTCTGGAATCAGGCTGCTGTCTGACGAATTCTCACAAATAATATAGTTTTGTAGCTTTGGGTTTTGGACCTTCAATTATCTAATTGGTCAAATATGATGTAAATAATTATAGAGATTGGTTACTCAAGCCAAATAATGCAATAGCTAAATTTCCAATCTTGTGTTAAGCATGATATTCTCATTCCCACAGAACCAGCTAATGTTTACCAAATTATAACTCTTTTTTAAATACCAATCTGTCATTTATTCGCTCATTTTGATTTAAGTACATATATGTGAATCTAATAATTTGCCAAAGATATTAATTAATTCAATGCTACTGATTTAAAGAGTCTTACAATGCTACAAAAGTCTTACAATAGGCCTGTATTGTGCTAGCACTCATAAAAAAAAAATGTATGTAAATTTTGGTCGACACTTAGATTTGATGAAAATGTTATCCTAAACAACTCATTTTTAACCTTGATTTTCTCAAAATCTGTTTTTTTAAATTCTCCCAATTGAGGGAGGTCACGGCGGCTAAGTGGGTAAGACACTGGCTCGATAGCCTGGAGGTCGGGTGTTCGATCCCTGCATTGGCCGAGAAAGTTCATCCTGATTTTCCGGCGTGGTTCCCCCTTGTCAGTGATTCAGGACGGAGGGACTGATAAGGATAGCTGTCTAGTCATTCGGATCAAATGGAAAACTGAGGTCTCGTGTACACATTGGCATACACATAAAAGATCCCTTGACAGTTGGAATTCGATATAAGAGTAGGCTGTTCCGGCAAAATTTCTCTCATAGCACACTGTATAGGGTATGCCCTTCTTCATTAGCCCATTTCGGAGCAGAACAGTAGGACGTTAAACCCCATTTCATTTCTCTCCAATTGACCTGGACGTATTTGGCGATATCTTGACCATCGAACATAATATGAAGCCAGAAAAGGTACTAAAATGAAGCTTGAATCCCAAAGAATATGTACATAACTCAGTATGGCCAAATTGCTACTTACTACATGTACCCATTTCGTTGATGGGTCACATATATGATATAGCTATATTTTCTGACTTCTGTAGAGGACTTACACTGAGAGTGCTATAACTGGTCACGGGTCAGATGTTACAGCCCCTGGGCCCTTTGTTTTTATTTTGTCTTTTGATTACAAAAGATTGAACTTAGTTTTTTCAACTTTTGTTTTTCAGATTAATAGATAATTTACCCTGTGCTACTAAATTTGAATTATTAGATTCTAAAGAAGCTCAGTATGAAAAGGGATATCGACTTGGATATGAAATTGCCAATGATGTAAGTTCAGTTTCTTTGGCCAGATTATTAATGTCACATTATCTACAATTTCTTGATAATATGCCTGAAGTATCTTATCTTAAAATCTTGGACAGAAATGAATTTTTTGCAATGATTGCTTAATGTTCAACTGTTGATGTACATTGATGAAAACTGAATTCTTCTATAAAACCATCTCTTCTATAATGACCTGACTATCCAGTTATACAGATAATTTATTTAAAATGAAAGTTACAGATAATTTATTTAAAATGAAAGTTACAGTCTTTTTAAAATGACTAACTTATCCACTGATTAACAAAGATTATTATTCGTTACTTAGAGGTGAATTGCACATGGTACTGTATGATATTTGATTTAAAAATAATATGTATATCCCCATGTCTTGTTTTATAGGTATTTATTCATAATCATCTGAAACTTATCTTAAAATATCATTCAGAAGATGGGTAAGTAAACAGGTTTAATTAATTAAACAGGATTTTCTTTTGAACTAGAATTGTCGGGTGCCATATGCTTTAAAAAAATCTCAAAATGAAGCAATAAAAAGGCCATATTCATACATATAACAAGCCATATCTTAGTTTCCCTTTTTTTTCACCACCAATTAATCGACCATGTTGTAGATAATAAGTTATATCAATTTAATGAAAAAAAAGATACTGATTCTGTTCAAACATATGGGGCGCCCACACAGTCGATTTTGTGTACAATATTGGTCAGTTCATTAGTTGTGCTAAACCAGTCTACATAGATTGAGCATATTACTGTCAAACTCTATTTAACTTACATGTATGTATTTGTTGTGAAATTGAACCTGTAGCACTGAAGAAAAGTGGTAACATTTGTCACAGTAAGAATGAACTTTTCATAAATAAATTCATGAACCTTACATTTTGTATTTTTTCAGTGCAACCTATCGTGTAGTCGGCTGTGAAGTTGAACCTAAAAGGTAAATCAAATATAAATTACATGTGTGTAACTGTCAGTCGCCTTCAAATGTTTGAGAAATAGATTGGATCTTATTAACTGTGATTCATAAATGATAAAAACTAGAAACATGATTCCTTCTTTTGTTAAAAATTTATGTATATGGATAATGGGATATGAAGTGGTCATCTAATTATTAATGTTGGAGTATAGCTGTTGCCTCTGATCCTGAAAGCTTGCAAGCAATCTTTCAAAATGCTTTTTTATGGGTGTATGTTTGTAATGTTATATTTTTTTTTTTAAATTTTAGTCTGAATTATGGAGAAGTAACTGTAGATAAAGCGGGTACTTGTAATTATAAAACATCAGGAAGACCTGCCCCACAAAAAGTGAATCCAGCAGGTACACCATTTCTATATTCCCTTATGCCCCAACATGCTAGAATTACTATTTCTATTAATACCTACACATTCATTGGTACTTTTATACACCCCTCCTCCCCCCCCCCCCCCATTTTGGTTCCCAAAACATAATTTTGTTATTGTCGTTTAAAGTTTACATTAATTCTGTTGACTTTATATGTGTTATATTTCTTGTTGAAATTATGCTCAGATCTTTTTGTAATTGGGAAGAAGTAGCCTAGTGATTATTGATTGGTAGACAAATGCTGTCATTTGATCTGTTAGAAATTTGTATGCATTCTTCATATTGGTGTCAAGAAGAATCCTGTTTGATTTTAGGGACCAGAGTTGTTCAGTGAGTAAGACAGCTCACTAAGTGGGTGATCCCATGTTTGATCCCGGAGAAATTTCATCAGGATTTTCTTGTGTTGTTCCCCCATGTACAGGGCCTGGCAAGGTACAATATATAATCAGTCCTTCAGATGGGATGAAAACATAAGGTCCTGTGTACACATTTGAGTGCATGTAAAAGAACCCTTGGCAATTGAAATTCAATAATATATAAATTCGGGCAAAATTTTCATCATAGCACACTGTATGGCGTATGCCTGTCTTCGTTAGCCCAGTTGGAGTAGAACGGTAGGTCATTAAATCCCATTTATTTTCATTTCATTTGTTGTATTTTATATACATAGTAGTTCAAATGGTTGATAAATGGCAGACTATTAGATTTCAACAAATTACTTCTATTATGGCCCTTGCTGACTATAGAATTTTGTGAATGCTTTATGTACTTAGTTTCACCAAACACTTTATGGACTGTGACATGCATAACATTTTGGCGCTAATTTTTAAGATTACATTAAATGATTGTTGTTTTATTACAGGAAATACTGAGCTTTTATTTACATATGAAGTAGAATGGAAAGATAGTCCTATACGATGGGCATCCAGATGGGATATATTTTTATCTATGAGTGATGTTCAGATCCATTGGTTCTCTATTATAAACTCTGTTGTTGTTGTCTTCTTCTTGTCCGGTTTGTAAAGAAAAATTTAATTATTTTAGATGTATTTAACTTCTTGTCATTGTACTATTCTGGGTTCAGGAAAGTTTGATTAAACTCTTAAACAATTTATTTTTAACAGATGGGAACTGTTCCTAAATGCATTTATTTTACTGATTAATTCTCTTATAGAAATTATATAATTTGTAATGTCACTTCCTTCAACCCGTTACTATAAATATTGACCTAAACATAACCTGATCAAAACTGTTTACGATGTATATCTCGTGCAGTTCATCTCAACTGTTAAACCAATTTTCTACTTAACTCACCGTTTATGATTTTTTTGACAAATGCCTTGATAAAACTTTATCATGAAAACCATTGTGTTGGGACTATTAGAAATGAGAACACCACTTAAACTATCTGATGATTTGGATAAGACATCCAGTTAATTATCCTTCATGTTTTGTGTAAACATTGGCGTGCTCTTAAAAGAACCCTTAACAATTAGAATTTGAAATTATAGTAGGTGGTATCGCTGCTACTGGGGAAAAATTTCCTCATGGCACACTGCATAATGTTTGCCAGTCTTCATTAGCCCAGTCGGTGCAGAATAGAGCTCAAATGAATCAAGTTGTTTATATCAAAGTATCTGGTGATTATTCTAGGTATATTAACCATGATCATGGTAAGAACATTAAGACGAGATATTGCCAAGTACAACAAGGAGGATGAGGTAGGCGAATTATATGTAAGAGTCGTTTTTATTTTAATTTTATTTTCCTTGGTGCTGGTGAAGATTATATAGATGTAGAAGATGGGTGATAGTTTGTATTTGACAACCATCTTCTTAATTGGGAGGTTTCACAATAAACATTTACTTTCAGACAATTAGACCTCACTTCCTGTGTAGAACATATTTGGCAAAACTGATAAGACATATGAGTGACAGACATTTATTGAAAAGTTTATTCTGATTGTCATGTATTATTTGATTTCTAGCTTGTGTATTTGGCTGCTATATTCTTATTTGTTTATATCTTGAATACCATAAATGTCTGTATACAGTTCAACAAAAAGTTCAATTGATATTTATAACCTTTTCACATTATTATGTACCAAAGAATGGGTATTTTGTGCAAAAGGTCATAAAAGGTAAGGAAATCATAATGAGTGAAATTGTAAATGTGGACGTGTGAAACCATCCTGATGATAATATCAAGTTAAATAATGGTTCATTGGTCTCTTTTTATTATTAACAGCATGACTTCCAATAATTATATTATTTTTTAATTTATGAATTTAATCCTTGGATGGTATTCAGAGATTAATCACATTAAACAATGACATTGTGTGGAATACAATCACTGGTTTATTATGTTCTCTTATGGATTTCAAGCACTTTTTGTAAATTTATAGTTTTTGTTACTCTGTTGTATTCTGTTGAAGCTAAATATATTCGAAAAAAAACATGAAGTCTTTCCTGTTACATGAAAGATGTGACCTCTGTCTTTTTATACGCCCACATTTTCATGTGGACGTATATTGTTGTTGCCTCTGTCTGTCCGTCCGTCCGGACGTCCGTCCACAATTTGTTTGTGGACTCTCTACAGGTCACAATTCTTGTCCGATTTTGACAAAACTTGAAATATAGGTTTATCCCCAAAAGATCTTGGCTGCTTTCGATATTGGCATGTATCGGATCGAAACTTCATGGATTATGGCCCCTGTTTGTACGAAAAATCACGTTTTTAGCTTGTGGACCCTATAGAGATCACAATTTTTATCCGATTTTGTTGAAACTTGACATGTAAGTTAATAACCCAAAGATCTCAGTTCCTTTCGATAATCGTGCATATCGAACCGTAACTTCCTGAATTATGGCCCCTGATTGTACAAAAAATCGTGTTTTTAGCTTGTGGACCCTATAGAGGTCATAATTTTTATCTGATTTAAAAAAACGTATTATTATATCACTGTTACACCCTATGGAAGGTTAAGTTTGTATTAGGGGAAAATCGGACCAAAATTGCCGGACAAAATGGCCGCCGTTTGTACACGAATAGTGTAAAAATAGAGTATATGTCAAGGTTGTGGACCCTGTATGGGTCACAATTTTAATTCGATTTTGATGAAATTTGAAATGCGTGTTTATAAGATCTTGGTTCCTTTCGATATTGTCGCATATTGGATCGTAACTTCATGAATTATGGCCCCTGATTATACGAAAAATCGCCTCTTTTAGCTTGTGGTCCCTCTGAAGGTCACAGTTATTATCTGATTTTAAAAATCATTTGAATATATCACCGTAACACCATAATAAAGATTGAGTTCAAATTTCCTGAAAATTAAACCAAAACTGCCGGACAAAGTGGCCGCCGCTTGTACGCGAAAGGTGTAAAAAATATGGTATATCAAGGTTGTGGACCCTGTAGAGGTTACAATTTTAATCTGATTTTGATGAAACTTGAAATGCATGTTTATAACCCAAAGATCTTGGTTCCTTTCGATATTCGCGCATATCGAATTGTAACTTCATGAATTATGGCCCTTGATTGTAGGAAAAATCACTTTCTTTTTAGCTTGTTCTCTATCCATCTCTCAAAATTGTGGGCGTATCCTGCCTGGCAGCCGCTGGTTTAAGTATTCTTATTGTATTATTTATTTTAGGATGAAACTATTGAAGAAACTGGATGGAAATTGGTTCATGGTGATGTTTTCCGTCCTCCACGTTATACACGACTCCTTACAGCTGTCACTGGCGCCGGCACACAAATATTTCTTATGGCCCTTATTACTGTTTGTAAGTCAGCTCTGAAAATCATTTTTTGAAATAACGCGCCCTGTGATTCTATACCCTCCACCATGATCAGACAGGAATTACAAAAGAAGTATCTAAAAACACCAAAACAATTTCTGGAAATTCATTTTCTTATTAAATGTAATCACTTTCTTGATGTAAATATATTTATAGGGGGGGGGGGGGGGGGTGTCCATAAAATAGGCACAAAACCAGACCCAACTTTTCTATAGTAAAATTTTGCTTTAAATCTTCCTAGTGCAAAAATGGAAAATTTGACCTTTTTGACCTCCGGGGTCACAAAGAACAAAGGTGAATTTAGCAAGTTTAAATTTTTATTGAGTAATAAGTTTTGATCATTTTCAGCGGGTCTTTATGATACAAGAATGGCTGTGCATTCACTTTCAGTGTAAATGACCTCATTTGACCTTTGACCCTGAATAATTCGAAAACGACCCAACGGCAGACTGATTACCACTTGGCAACGTATTCTACATAAAGTTTTACTATTGGAAAGTTGGACTTGTTGGAGGTTTTGAATATTTTAACAAAATGAAAGAAAAATGATGTTCTTTCGATTTTCATTGAATTTAATTTTTGGGAAGACTGGTAGTCTATTGCCGGTCCTTTAGTATAAGCAAATGTTGGAGCAGAAATTAATAAAATTATTGTATATGAAGTATTATTATAATTGTAAATTGTATACTAATTGTGTAATACAAAATTTACAGTTTTTGCCATGTTAGGAATGTTATCACCATCGTCTAGAGGAGCATTGATGACAGCTGCAATTGTTTTATATATGTTTATGGGGTGAGTAAAAAATTTATTGGGCTATAAACTATAGACAGAGAGCTCAGATGAGTGCTGGGTGATTGGGAAATTCTGGTTATTACTATATTTAAAAGCTTATTTTATGTCATTACAATATATTGTGATAGGTTATTAAAAATATGGAACATGTTAATCAATTTACAAGTAAACCATTATTTTGTTATACTCTTGAAATAATGACTTTATTCCTGCAAAAAAGGAAAGTTGAGATAATTTTGCAAGCAATAACCAATTTTTGTAAATTTTTATAAAGAATAAAGGATACAAGAAACTGCTTGTAACATTGTACTCTATTGGCAACTGTGCATTTATTAATATTTGCATTTCAATGATATATGATTGTAAAAAAGAATTTAAAATTGTTAAATTAAAACACCCCAAAAAGATTTAAATCAAAACTAAATGAAATCTACTGTGTATTTCAGAATATTAGCTGGATATTTCTGTGCTCGTCTGTATAAAACTATGAAGGGAACACAATGGAAGAGTGCAGCTTTTCAGATGGCCATGTTTTATCCTGGCATTGTATTCAGTGTTTGCTTCTTTATTAATTTCTTTATTTGGGGAAAGCATTCGTCTGGAGCCGTAAGTATTTTAATAAGTACATATAATATATGTATAGCTTGTTCATTTTGTGTGAAAGAAAAGCTACATCATGGTGATTGTAGTTGATCTTGTGGGGAGGAGTAGAGATGTAACAGTTTGTTTATTAAGATCAGTGGTTGAATCTTGATCTAAGAGATAAAGTTGTTTGTCCTCCTTAGCCTTCTAAAAAGAATAAATTTTCTAACTGTAGACTGGAATTTCCAATGATTTCACATAAAGCTTTTACTTTCTATGTGTTAACAAAGGGGATGTTACAAACTAGTCATCTTGAGTGACAGTAGACAACTGTGCTCAAACTCCATTACAAGGGAGGTTGCAGTCACCAGTCAAATCAGTCACCCAATCTCAGTATCTGTAAGAATTTTATGATTATTACAATCCTTCTTGGTATATTTTTCAGGTACCATTCACTACTATGTTAGCCTTGTTATGTATGTGGTTTGGTATATCTACACCTTTAATTTATCTTGGATTTTTCTTTGGTTTTAGAAAACAGGTAGGTTCTCAATCTGTATTCATTCTTCTATAATTGTCATGTATCATTCAAATGGGTGTCAAAAGTCAGTTTTCGTTTTCACTGTCTTGTCTTTTGTTAACTGAGGAATATAGTGGTCATATTTCTATTTCAGCCCTATCAACATCCCGTTAGAACAAATCAGATTCCTCGACAAGTACCTGAACAAACCTGGTATATGAGTCCGAGTTTAGGGTAAGTGTTATCCATTCTATAAAGTTATTTTGTTGAAGCTGACCCTGATTAATGATTTTTTTTTAAAATTGCTGAAAATATCATACCACTATTTTATGAAAATATACAATTTGGTAGGGAAAAGTGTTAACATTGGTGGCTTGACAAGTTAATATTACAAATTTATACCCCCCATTTTCTATATATATTGCAAATAAGTCTAACATAAATATGTAAAATGTTAACACTTTTCCCTACCAAATTGTATATTTTCATGATCCTGATATATTTTCAGCAATTTTAAAAAAAATCATTAATCAGGGTCAGCTTCAACAAAATATATATTTAATAATTAAATACGCTGTTGATAGATGTGCAGTGGACTGTTTCACATCCGACATCTTACGGGACCGTTCAAATATGCCGGATTACACAGCTGGACGGCATACTCAATACTGGAACTATTATTGTACCTTCGAAAACCAGAAGTATAATCTTCTCTGTTGTATCGATGTTGTATTTGGTGGCAAAGATTTAATATTTACTTTCCTATAGCCTTTGCATTTTTTATCACACAATGATCTGTCGGGTAATGCTCTAAAAAACAAAACGGTGTAATTGGTGGAGGCATGCCGATATTTAGAGGCTTTGATGTTGAAACCACTTGTGCGTCATTATGTTGATATCAAGATGATCAACAAAAGTATTAATCTCTCAAATAATTGATTGGTGATCGCTTGTCAATCTTTTGTAAGTGAACACAAGACGCATTGAAGGCCGGATTATACAATGTTAATTCAATGCAAATTGTGTGCTGATTGATGTCATAATTTGTAATATTCAGAATACGGATTACTCAAAACTTTTTGGGTTGAAGTAATAAGGAAATAAAACGGGACATGAAAATGATCACGGATTTCACAGAATGTCGTAGTATTCAGAAGTCGGATGTGACAGAGTCAACAGTAAATTGTAACAATAATGATATGAAACTGTGTATGAATGGTATAGTAATAATATGAAACATATTTTGTAGAACGCTGATGGCAGGTATTTTACCATTTGGTGCTATGTTTATAGAACTGTTCTTTATCTTCACTGTAAGTATAGACTTTACTAACTACAATCCATAAAAATCAAACATTAAGGTCACACAAAAAAAAATATTTTAAATAGATTGATTGTGGGAGCATGTTTTTTGTTTTTTTTTCTCAAAATCTAACTAGTTTTTCATTTTTGAAAAACAAAATTATTATAAATGTAATATTTATTCAACTCTTAATAAAACAAAAAATAACTCTTTTTATTTTGGCGAGCATTATTAGCCTACTGGCATTACGTGGTATCGATTCCGTAATAAATTAGCCTTTGATTATCCAGAGCCGTTTTTGATTGTCAATTTTGTTTCTCATGGTTACAGACTTCATAGCCGAGTCTAGTGTTCATTTCCTGTTATCAAGAAACGTTCAATAAAATTACTCCCCATGATCGCAGAAAATATAAACGAGCTGAAATTATTGACTTTATTTTTATTTTTTTTTAAATAAAAACGTGTGACACAGCCCATTTTTGATGATGCGGCAGTATCCGAGAGCCAGAATATTTTTTTGTGTGTGGCCTAATTTGTTTTTTCTTTTTATTTAGATCATGTGAACTCTTAATTAGATTTCTTACTACACCACAGATATATATTTTAGAGAGTAACTTCTTTGCAACTGTCAGAGAAAGTCTATGATACTTTTAGATGTAATACGATTATTGAGTTTAGGTGTATGTTTGGTGACTAGGTTACCCACTATTACACTACATCTGTGTCTGCATAGAACTAGGCTACTATTTTATGTGGTCATGTGGAGGAATTTCTGAATTACTCAATGTTTTTGAGTTGATAATAAACTATTGCTTTACATATGAGTGTATGTAAATCTAATTGAATTGACTGTGAAGTGTGGGAGTGCTCTTTTTCATATATTTGATTATATCACTGTGGGAATAAAGTAAAATGATTAATTATATCTAACTAAATGCATATCTTTATTTTTTTATTAGGCAATTTGGGAGAACCAGTTTTATTATCTGTTTGGTTTCCTCTTCTTGGTGTTTATTATTCTTGTTATCTCAGTGTCCCAAATCTCAATAGTTATGGTGTATTTCCAATTGTGTGGTGAGGTAAGATATAATTAAATATTAGTATATTATTTTATAATAATATGTATGTCTCCTTACTGTGTACATATTGCTGAATAATCAAGGCTTTATTTATGTATGTCATAGAGTTAGCAAAGTTATATTGGTTAACTGCATGTCATCATGGTAAGTTGCCCTTTAAACAGTGTTAAGAATTTCTCACAGCCTAAATATTAATTTTAATATAGGGAGGTTAATTAATAGATAGCAAAATACTGAAGCTATTTGAATTGCACCTCGGGGGCTGGCAGCAAGCATTTGAAATCTGTGTAAAATAAAGTTTTGGACTGGGTTAATTGCATACATCGGTTTTGTCCTTTTTTTCACAAACAAGTAATTAAAGTTTCAATATAAAAAAAGGGTTGTTTTGATTAATGCTAAGATAATCTGTATACTATTAAATTGTATCTACTACATACAATACACTATCGGTTTTATCTCAACGCTGGTTTCTGTATCTATGGACATAATTTTTTTTAACAAAGACTGATTGTCATCTAACAAATAAAAAGATGAAATCATTGGAATCAACAGTTTTATTTTAATCCCAAATCAAATCTAGACTTGCATTTTAAATACTGATTAGCCCTTTAATGCACCCTTACAGTTGCACAGATATAAGTGTATGTTTGTATTGATTATTTTCAGGATTATCATTGGTGGTGGAGATCATTTATAGTATCTGGTGGTTCAGCTGTATATGTATTTGCCTATTCTATCTTTTACTTTGTTACAAAGGTAGGTTATATTCTATATATTGTTAATAGTTCACAAAAAGGCTACTTGACAGGATCTTCTGGAATTCAATTTTGCTCAAACTGCAAAGCTTGTTGGGACAGTAGCAAATCAATTCCATGTCACTCTTTTCGGACTATCAGTTGAGCACCTCTGACAGACTAAAGTTATCATCTGATACATTCAAATTTATACACCGTGTTTAGCAGTGTTAAGATTACAAAATTTTTCCTATCAGACATTTTTACTGAAAATAAAAGGGTCATAACTCTCATCATTATTTAAGCAGGCAGATTCAGACCACACACAAAAATCATGTGTCAACAATATATTCAAATTTGTACATAATAAAAAAAAAAAAAAGGTGCATCTCGTTATTTTTATACGTCCACATTCATAATGTGAACGTATTATGCCGTCGCCCCTGTCTGTGTGTGTGTGTGTGTGTATGTATGTATGTGTGTGTGTGTGTGTGTGTGTGTGTGTGTCTGTGGTTCGCCTACAGGGCGCAATTCTTCATGGATTTTCTTCAAACTTGGTATACTTATTCCTTATACCCCAAGGAAGATCCCTATTGTTTTTGGTGCATGCCCGACCCCCCGGGGCAGAGCCACGCCCATTTCTAGTATTTGTTTGTTTGTCGTCTACAGGCCACATTTCTTAACTAATAATCTTGAAACTTTGCATACACATTCTTTGTACCCTAAGGAACATCCCTATCGTTTGGGGTGCATGCCCAACCCCCAGGGGCAGAGCCACGCCCATTTTCTTTTCGTGTGTCTTTGTGTCGCCTACAGGGCGCAATTCTTACTGGATTTTCTTCAAACTTGGTATACTTATTCCTTATACCCCAAGGAAGATCCCTATTGTTTTTGGTGCATGCCCGACCCCCAGGGGCAGAGCCACGCCCATTTCTAGTATTTGTTTGTTTGTCGTCTACAGGCCACATTTCTTAACTTATAATCTTGCATACACATTCTTTGTACCCTAAGGAACATCCCTATCGTTTGGGGTACATGCCCAACCCCCAGGGGCAGAGCCACGCCCATTTCCCATTTTCTTTTCGTGTGTCTTTGTGTCGCCTACAGGGCGCAATTCTTACTGGATTTTCTTCAAACTTGGTATACTTATTCCTTATACCCCAAGGAAGATCCCTATTGTTTTTGGTGCATGCCCGACCCCCAGGGGCAGAGCCACGCCCATTTCTAGTTTTAAAAAGTACCATATCAATCAAAGCAGGAATGTGGACGTATATTGCAGCGGTAGCGATGCTCTTGTTCATTTTTGATTCCCGTGCAGTATTTAAATTCATGTCAGTAATATTCCTTCAAAATTACGTGTTATCGTAATACGATAGAATGAAAGCGTGCCAACAACACCGTGTTTGTGTGTGTGTGTCTGTGTGTGTATGTGAGACAAGTTAACGGATATAACATATATGACTAGTTTCTACATATTGTAAACTGACATCAAGGAGATTAAAATGTCTGACAATGGAGAAACCCCATGTTAATCAATAAGATTAAGTTTATAATCACTCTTTTTGGATTGATACATAGTCCGACAAAGGAAAAGCAATGACTTCTGTTCAGGATTGGATTGGTGAATTGTCCGACAAAGGATACAGGCGAAATCCCATCACTGGTGTTTAGTCTATTTCTGAAAGATAACTTGAACAGCCAATCATATTCTTATTATTTCTGATAATTTCTTTGTGGGTAATTACTCTTGATCAGTTATAGTTTATTATGATCCCATGCGACAACCTTTGTACTTGTAGACTGCTTGGATAACTGGAGGTGTATGTTTTGTTGTTCAGCAACCTATCTTCAAATTATTTCTATCTATACCATAATTATTATTTCTGTTCTTTTTTCTTCAGTTGGAGATAACCGAGTTCATTCCTTCATTGGTGTATTTTAGTTACACACTGCTCATGGTCTTAACGTTCTGGATCTTAACGGGTACTGTGGGATTCTTCGCCGCTTACTGGTTTATCTGTAAAATATATTCAGCCATCAAGATAGATTAAATATAGTTCTAAGTATTTTAGAATATTAAATAATAGTTCATTTCATTTATTTGGTCATCTAAGAATCAGCGGGGGATTGGTAGTTTCTTATGTGTTAGCAGTTGGGTTTAATGCTAGAATAAATTGCAAATGTCTAATACTAGACAATAATATCATTGTTGTGACTAGTGCTGATATCATGTAATCCTTACACATTGATGCACCAAAATAAATAATGATACTTGCATTGAAGTCTTCTGTGTGGTTGGATTGGCTCAGATCTTTCCTCTGCTATTTGAGTCTCAATAACTTTTTGCCACATGTGCTTGGTTGGCTGCTGTATTGATACATCAATGAGTGATAACAGCACTAGATCTGACCTGGGGTCCAACATTTTAACAATTAATAAATACATACAATAGTGTCTTGTTTCACTGTAGATTGATTAAATTAATCTTCGTACCAGGGTAGTGTAAATTGATGGTTGTCATTGAAATGTTTATTTTACATTAGAAGTTTTGTTAATTCAACTCCCCCCACCCCCGGTACAGTAATAGCAAATAGCAATACATGCCATTTTATTTCATCAAAGGGAACTTGACATAAGTAGAACAATTCAATTTGTATCTTTCTTTAAATTTTTATTCAAACAATGTTTATTACAACCAGTGGAGTTCTAAATGAGTATTATAAAAGGATTAGATGTCATGATAAATATATTAATTCATTCACATTTCTTTTATGTACAGTTTTACTTTTAGTGGGTTCGGATAAGACTCAAACTTCACTTTAACTTTATGTGTAGTTCTACGGAAATTTCTAAATTAAATGAACATTAGTTTTCAAGTGTATCCAGTTTGGATTTTAATTTCTAACACATTTTTTTGTTAATAATCCTACTTTCTTTTTTCATTATTTAACTTTGTTGTTATTTATATAAATTTATATTGTTTCCTTGTAAATGTATATTGTATATATTATCGAATGACATATTCTTTATAATTCACTGTATTCAACTTTGGAAGAACTTTCAATGATTTTACTTCGAACAAATGTTAATAAAAAAAACTGTTACAAAAGTATGGGCACAGTATTCCTCAATGGACTTTCAGTTCCAATTTTTGGAGATGGAGAATGGGCACATTAAAGTAGTGATCAATTGTGAAAAGAATGAAATTCAAATATGTATCTATTCTGTATAGTTTTGTAAATATAAGCATGCATATGAAATCATATATAACAAAGTGATATGTTTTCCATTGCATCAAATAATAGATGTAAATGTGTTTTCATTTATATGTAAAATAATTTTGTTTTCAATGTTTATATGTAATGCCTGTATATTTTTACATTATTCATAGTATGCTTACATGGGCATTTCTTTTTCATAGTAATTATTACATTGAGGTTAGAATTTAAAAACATTAACAAGTAATTACTAATGCTACTTTAATATTGACAGTAATACCCAACATGTGTCATTAGATTTGTTTATAGTTCTAAATACGTTTTAGATATTGGTATATTATTATAAGCTATATGCTTATTTTTGGAGATCATGACCTTTCCCATACAGAAATATATGCATATAAGTGGTTTTAACAAGTTTTATTTCAATTCTAACCTTGTAAATTATATGAGAAATTGTGGAATTTATTATGTAATGGGTTCCTTTGAGGGTGTCAATAAATATATATTTTGTTATCATTTTTTTTTTTTTACAAAACCTGCATTAGCTCTTTGCAGGCTTTTGTTGATTCGTTAAATAAGAAATTTTGATTTATCAGCAGAGTTACATCAGATGTTCAAATTACTATTAGATAGTAGGAAAAATTTTGCAATGATTTACATTTTAATTTTCAATTTAAGAGTTGTGCAAATTTATTAGCTGTTTTCAAGGAATTTAACAAATGCTGGTGACAAATACCTCCTTCTTAGAAAGTCAGTGATTGGCTTTTCAATAAATTTAATGACAAGTATATAATTTAAGTATATTATTACAATTTTTTTCTTGGTAATGATGCCTCATATTTTAAAACTTTATTGCTATATGACAAGGAGTAGGGTCGCTTTTCCAAACCTCAGTTTTCCTCGGGTCCTCCGATTTCTTCCCACAGCTACCCCTATGCGCAAGCAAATTACTGAAATAAAAGAGAACCATATGTTGGTCTCGAAATGATATAGTTTGTGTCAAGTGGACATTAAACTCCATTTCTCTGTCTGCTATAAGACACTAACTAAAGATAAATATATAGAGAGAATTGGGAGTTGAGATCCAGTCAACTGTCATATAAAATGGTGTATATTTCATTAGTTAACCCTTTTCTATGTACCAACTGCGGGATCGAACACTCTTTGGCATAGCTGACAGACCCCCCCCCCCCCCCCCCCATCTCATTTGTTACTGCAGTTCTTGTATGCAAATTTTTTATGTGTCGATTCAAAACATACACAGAATTACTCAATCTGATAAAAACACAGATCTTATTTCGTTCTGTTTTTTATAGTTCAAAATTTCGTTTTTACTTTTCTTTACTATACTAGGATCCGGAAGAGTTGTTATATAACTATGTTCTGGATGATGTGAGGGATTAGCGAATGAAACTGTCTGTTACGGCGAGTTTTTGGCGTGCGGTGCACAGAACTTTCGGTAAACCACTAGAAACGTCAAAAGCTGCTTGTGTGACACCTGACGTGACCTTCCACTACAACTGGTCAGATCTTCATGTAGTGTAGGCCATCGAAAGTATAAGAAAAAGAAACGAAATATAGATCTGTATTTTAATCAGATTGAGAGTTATTGTATCCTGAGAGTAAAACATGGCCTCTTAGAAGTCTTGTTTTCAATAACCTGGGACTGCTGGGAAGCTCATAAACACTTATTAATTATGCTTATTTGTAACTGATCTATATAGATCTATATTTCGTTTCGTTTTTATACTTTCGATGGCCTACACTACATGTAGATCTAACAAGTTATAGTGGGAGTTCACGTTCTATGACGTCAGGTACCAAGCAAGAGACATTTGACCCGATAACATCAGTCATTCGATTAACCAATTAGTGACCGCCATGCTTTTTTAAATCTACTTTTGCTTCGTTTGATTTCTATCGCTGGTAATGTCTACCCACAATTCCGCGCAAAAAAAGGTCAAACGCTTGATTCGACAGACTATTTGATTGGCTGACCCCTCATTTCAAGCAGAACACGAGTTAAATAACAAGTCTTCCAGATCCAAATGTAGTGAAGACAAGTAAGAACGAAATTTTGAACTATAAAAAACGAAGCGAAATTGGATCTGTGTTTTGATCAGATTGCCATTTGACAATCTCAACTGACAGCACAGGAGTATACCCAGTAGTCATTGTTTAGATGCATTGTATTTAGCTATGTAGTTTAAATTGCAGCAATCTTTATAAACAGCTCGAATGATAAACTGTTAGTGTGGGTGACTCAAAAACTGAAAATGATATTTTTAACATTTTCCATACACCCAGAGAAATGGTATTGAATTCAAGCTGCCCCCCTAACTTTCAGGCAATCTGGGTAAAGTGAAAACAAATTTTTTTTATTTCATCTACTTGGTAAAATAAAGTGCCCGAAATCAAATAAAACACTAACTTTACTTTTCTTTTAATTGAATACCATGAATTTATACTGAATTGACTATGGATTAAAACATTTTGTCTGGGGCCACTCTACCTTGTGCGAAATTTTTTGAGCACCCATTATTATTTGTGCATGCAGCTGCAACAGTGTGGTTGGATGGTTGGAATTCAGCTCGGCACAGAGTGGGATTTCGGTTACAAAACCATTGGACATCTTTAGAGTGGGTAAATTTTCCAAATTTTCTCCGGGAGGGCGGGGCCCCCATACCCCACGACGATTGATTGGTTGGAATTCAGGTAGGCTATATTGGACCACATTGAAGTTGCTATATTCACGGGCTGGAATAGCAGGAAAACACGTTTGCAGCAGTTAAATTTTCACCCAACGGTCCCGTCTTCATGGACTATAAACGATTGATTGGAATTCAAGTCAGCCACCTTAATTAGGCCACTTTGAAGTTGCTTTGTTCACGGGCTGGAATAGCAGGAAAACACGTTTGCAGCAGTTAAATTTTCACCCAACGGTCCCGTCTTCATGGACTATAAACGATTGATTGGAATTCAAGTCAGCCACCTTAATTAGGCCACTTTGAAGTTGCTTTGTTCACGGGCTGGAATAGCAGGAAAATGCGTTTGCAGTCGTCAAATATTCAAAAATGTTCTTGGGGGGTTCCAATCCATCATACATGACAAGCTCGCCTTTGCAGGGAACTGGCGCCGCGCTGCCTGTCAACCCCAATTTTTTCCGGTCATTTCGGGTTCTGCCTCCCTAACTGTCATCGAGCTTGTACGCCTATGACCATACATACCCCAGAAAATTTGGGAAAATGGAACGCTGTATCATTAAAATACGGATCTATATTTCGTTTAGTTTTTATACGGCCACATTGAAATGTGGTCGTATATTGTCGTTGCCCCCGTCTGTCGGTCGGTCGGTCCAGCATTTAAGGTCATGAGACGAGGGAGCCTATTGATTTTCAGCGATTTCCGATAATTACTACCAGAGTTATGGCCCTCGATAACTTCAAAAAATCTTGTGGACGCTCTAGAGGTGAAAGTTAATGTCTGATCGACTTTAATTCAGGAAATTACAATTTGATATGCGTATATATATCGAAAGGAACTGAACAAACGGCAGCCATTTTGTCTGTCAATTTTGGGCCGATTTTCACGAAATTCGAACTCAGTCATCCTTAGGGTGTGACAGTGATATAATAGAACGTTTTTTTAAATCGAGTATAAATTATGACTTCTATAGGGTTCACAAGCTAAAAACGTGATTTTTCGTACAATCAGGGGCCATAATTCAGGAAGTTACTGTCCGATATGCGCAAATATCGAAAGGAACTGAGATCTTTGGGTTATAAACTTACATTTCAAGTTTCAACAAAATCGGATAAAAATTGGGACCTCTATAGGGTCCACAAGCTAAAAACGTGATTTTTCGTACAAACAGGGGCCATAATCCATGAAGTTTCGATCCGATACATGCCAATATCGAAAGCAGCCGAGATCTTTTGGGGATAAACCTATATTTCAAGTTTCGTCGAAATCGGATAAGAATTGTGACCTGTAGAGAGTCCACAAACAATTGTGGACGGACGGACAGGGGCGACGGCATAATACGTCAACATGAAAATGTGGGCTTATAAAAATATGCGACAACTCTTGTTGACTGCCCGGACAATTTAGCTGCTGTGTGCATATGTTTTGTTGCCTGGTAACCTATCTTTTTATACTTTCGATGGCCTACACTATGTGAAGATCTGGCCGGTTGTAGCGATAGGTCACGTCAGAGGTCATACAAGCCGCTTTTGACCCTATGACGTCAGACATTTGATTAACCAATCCGCATTAATGTTACTAGTGAATTACCCACAGTTTCTTGCAAAACACGCTCAATAGGATCTGTAGTTTAATCAGATTGACGCCGTATGTGCCATTTCCAGCTATTTCGGCCATGCTCCATAGGATTCGCGCCCAAGTTGCAGCTACCCACCCACTATGTCTAGAGAAACAATTATTTTTTGGACAGTAATCAGAATTTTTGGGCAAAACTGAAAGAACCATACAATTAATATAATAATGATCATTGAATAATTATACTGTGTGGAAATTATTACATAAAATGCTCAAATTTCTTTGTGTGTAATCTTTTATTTCAAATTAACCAGAATGAGTATTACCAGCATAACAAATATAAATCAAATTTTAACTTTAGTAACAATTATTGATCACTCTATATGATATATTTCATCCAGAACTCTAAAATTACCTTTAATCTTAAGTTTGTGTGTGTGAAATATTTATATCAAAAATTTGTTTTGTCACTTTCAAGAGATTAACAAAAATAATTTATATAAGATTTAGAAGGCTGGTATAATCTGTTCACAGAGTGAAGCAGCAATTAAAATTAGATTACAACTTGTTTCCATTTTTTGTATTTTTTTATTTCAACACTACATTGTAATTTAACCTACTTTCTATCACAACTGTGGCTTGGGAGAGCAATATTTTGTATCAGTCAATCAAACTGAGTTTGAAAGCGGTATACAATTCTATAATTCCCAACAAAATGCAGCTGTGTATACCAAATACAGGCAATTTGACTGGTCAAAAAGTTCATATCGCCTGAACACTGGCTTCAAAGAAAATATCAGTTGTCAATGTAGTGCAATGTCAAAAATAAAATGAAACATTACAAATATCTAATTTTAATCAGATTGTGACTACATGTATTAGCTTGCAGCTATCTCACAATCTAAAAGAAGCAATAATGACTACAATACAGAATCATTAAAAAAAATTATAAAAACAATACATACACATATTACTGTGAAATAGCACCAAATAACAGACATATAATCCCTCCTCCATCAAATCCTTACAGGATAAACATTTTTACACAATTACAGACAAAACAATCCATGGATGAACCCTAATGGTACACATAGCTGGATGGAAAAGCAATACATAGTAAAGTAATAAATAAATGTATGTTACACATTCCAATGATCTACAGGGGGGAGGGAATTTTGATGCCACTTATTAATATTCGGCATTATTTGGCTAAAAAAAATAGATGATTTTACACTGACTAAAACAATTCAGTATCAAATGTGGCATGTTTTTTATCAATAATTCGATTGTACATCACATACTACAGATATATACATTCAGCGTACTGTATATTCTTGTTGATATGAATTCTCTTAGAGTTTGATGTGTTATAAATAGTACAATTTCTTAGGTGGGATATATTTTGGTAACGGAATTGTGCCTTGCAATTGGAAGATAAGAGATTAGATAATTAGACATGTTAAGAAAATATTTACACAAATTAGGCAAACCTTAAATACAGTATTCAATAATATTTCAGTTCAATGAATAAATAAGATACATTTAAATGTATAATAAGCTTATAGTACTGTCAACATTATTTTTCTACCTGTAGATATAAGGATTAAATGAGCTAAATCTGTTTCATTTAGGTCAAAATTAAGTGTTGAGTTACATCAATCTAATCTGCTATTTTGCTTAGTAATGTGCTTTGAAAAATTAAAATTGAAGTCAGTTTGTATTATGAATACTATAATTTTAGTTTTGCTTTTGGCTTACTTTGTTCACAATCTGTTATATCTCAACTTTGGCTTTATCAATGAATACAATATTTTTGAAAGTAGACAGATTGTCATAACCCAAAACAAATCCATACATTAAATCAAAATTTATATTTTTGAGTATTTTGACCTACATATAGATTAAAAAAGTCTAGCCATTTTAAATGGCATGTGGCTGCTACATGTATATCAAATATTGAAAAACAAATATTAAGTAATCTGATAAGAGAGGTGTATTTTGGTTATTACATGTACCATTGATTACAAAATGATTTATCTCTATACATCATATGGTGAATTTAATACTATATCTTCAAGTACAAGATAAGGAGATTAAGTATCACATAATCTATCCTACATATTGTAGATTACACAAATTACAGATACAAAGATGTACAGCAGTATCTTACCTAAAACAAAATACACTACATGAAAGCTTTTAAAAAAAAAAAAAAAAAAAAAACAGTTCTACCATTATGGTACATCTACACATACTCTATAATGTACATTATGTAGTTACCATTCTTTTGGTTTAAAAATATAATTTTATGTAGTTAAATTATAAATAATATTTTATACAATTCAATTTTTATCCTTCAGAAAATATTCAGATATGATAAAATAGATACAGTATACTCTACTTAACATTTAAGAAGTGAAAAAGTCTAGTAATATGTAATTTTAGTCGTAAAATTAAAACTAAACTTGTTACATGCTATGTTAATAGTAAAAATATAAATCAATCTTACATCTGTAATTTAACTAAAGTGATGCACAGTATCTAAATTATAACAGTGTCTAAATACAATTTAGTCATTGGTGAAGCTTGTCAGTTTGATTGTTTTCAGAAATATTTGTAACGGCAAATGTACATGAAAAATGATTATTTATCGAAATCAAGGTTGAACATCCTTTGTGAGAAATAAAATTGCCTACTCGATAACTTATATCAATTAAAAATTCCAGAATGTTGTGAAATTACAGATTTACAATAGTGTGACATAGAATCAAGTTCCAGTCGCCATAACAGATGCAAAGATGCAATACGAGTAAAATTGTTATGTAATCAAACATTGCAAAATATATTTTGGCTGGTGATTGGTGGAGTTACATGTATCATCTTTTTAAGTTAGACTTGCTTAGTTTAATCCCATATTCTTATCACTCTTTGCGGATTGAAAGAGATCTCTTTCAAAAGATTCAAAATCGTCAGTGGCTTATCCTATTATTTCTTTCGGACTTTGATATGTTTCTATGAAGCATATGAAATTGATTTGATCATTATTATAAGCTGGCCTTTCATTTTCATCTCATCATCCATAATCATACCTACTACTATTGCCATGCGGTACATTTCAAATTTGCACAGCAGGTTATCAACAACACATCAGCAGTCATAACTTTTGGTGTATGTTAACAAGTACCATACATAATTATATTTGTACTGGAATTTAAGAGACCATTTGAAGACAAATTTTTTATTTGGGATCAAACCTGTCAATCTACAAGGTGCATTTCATTGCAACATATTAAGCACACACTGGGAATGTGCACTACACATAATATATATTGTGTAATATGCTGGCTGAAAGAAATAAAGGAATTGGCAGTTTATGATATTAATATTCAATTCATAACATGGTCAAAACAACCTAAGGCTAAGCCAAGCAACCATGTCAATTTCATAAGGCCTTTAACCATGTATTATAAGGTCCATGCTTTAACACAGGATTGCCTATTACAATCATTTTATCCCATCTTCTCATGAATTACATAAGTTTCAAACTTGTGTATAGCAATGTTCTTTAATTACAAACAGGTATTAATTCTTTATTTGCTTTGTCTTCACCATCTCTTGTCCACAGAAGATCATCTAAATTCTGTACTTGTTTTTTAGTTTTAAATTTATAACCCAGATTCAAGGAGTCATTAACATCCTACACCTTCACAATCATCATCTGCACAATGCCACAAAACACAATTTCCCACACAGCTATAACAAATCAAAAACACAGCAGCCAAGAAAACCAAACTGCAAATTGTACACGGTTTCCTGACAAGAAAAAAACTTGTCAAATATAGGACAATAAACATTGCATGATTGTAAATAAGCGCTGGGTTCAAAGGTTTCGGTATCAAAAGTACCGGAATCAGCCACTGTAAACAATACATGTTGTTAAGTTTCACCGTTTCCCAAGAATCATTACATCAAATATACCGTTAAATGACGCAAAAATACCAGAAGTGCACTGGTTTCACCCGGAAATAATGTGTAAATATTAGTGTCGTTAGTTTCGCATCAGATATCTAACAATATAATATAAGGAGATTTTACACCATCATATTCATCAAATTATGTATAAAGAACAAAATATAATTATTAGTTTATTATCAGTAGAACCTAAATTGTTATATTTTCTATAATAGGATTAGCCTATTATTTATACGAAACCATACGTGTAAGGGAAGGTGAAGGTCGTATACCCCACATGTAAACACGAAATAATGTGCAATATTTTATAGCCAACGAAACCAAAGTAATAGGTCTTTTGAGATCAACATCAAGAAATATGGTAAAAGCAAAAAAGAAAGGTAAATTTTTTGAAAGCTATCCCAATCTTATTAAAATACACAACAAACGGTACTCATCTAGCCTATAATGAGCGTAGTCATTGACTATAATTCTACATACTAAAGTATTAGTATTACCACTAGACTACTACTAGTAATAACTACATGTGTATGTCAAAATTATGATTTTTGTGTAGGCCTAGGTCTCAAACTTAATAATAATAAAATATGCGCAGCATTTTAAAGATTATTTTAATGCGAAATGATTTTCCAGAAATGTTATGAAGTATCGCTGTTGTAGTTTATTTGGTGTCAAACCCTTTTGGACCTAACCTTTACATTAACTTCATTAAGTACAGTACTGGTATACATACAGGTTGAAGGGTCATTCCATGATCATGTCAACTGGACCTGTGCTTGTAATAAAGTGACCCCTCAGAAAATTATGAAAAAAATATATGTTATAGTACTTGCAGTCTTATGTAAAACTGCAAATTTATATGACACTAGCATTAATATTGACTGAGATAGGCCTATGACCATTTGAATCGGGTTTTGAAACTACTGTTATATGACTCGATTTTTGTGATCTAATTTTATTCCTTTTAGTCAGTTTATATTCTTGAAATTATGGGGTTTGTAAGAGAATTTTAATCTATATAACATTCTCGTACAAACCTCATAATTTCAAGAATATAAACTGACTAGAAGAAATAAAATCATCAGATCACAAAAATCGAGTCATAACAGTAGTTTCAAAACTTGCGAAAGGGTACCACGATTCAAATAGTCATATCTCAGTCAATATTAATGCTAGAGTCATATAACTTTGCAGTTTTACATAAGACTGTATGTATTATAACATATATATTTTTCATAATTTTTCTGAGGGGGTCACTTTATGATGTAACTACAATCCTAATCTTTAATAACAATTATTGAATATTTTTTGTGTGTATTGAATTTGTTTCTTTTATAACATATGCTTGTAAGGTTTTGTACAACTCAAATGAAATTATCCTCATTAATGTTTTTTTCAGTGCCAGTCGCCTCTAAGGAGGAACTGATGATGATGACGGTTTCTGAAATTGTCAACGAATTAATCAAGGCTGATCAGGAAGGGAAAGACATCAACCTTAATAAGTAAGATAAAATTGAAAAGAGAGCGTAGCACCTAGAAAATAAATATGAAATTAAATTGTGTTTAACATCATACTTTTCTACACCGACTGGGCTAATGAAAACAGGCAGTCATTCAGTGTGCCATGAGGGAAACGCTTCCCGGACATCGGCACTACACGTACCTCCTACTCCTGGTTCTTTTATGTGCACGCCAACATGTACTTACATGGGACCTCTATTTTTCATCCCATCCAGATGTCTAAACAATGGGAAACCAGACCTCGGGTTCACAAAGCGTTCTCAGACTTAAGTTAAGAATTTGCTCAAAATTGTTTGTCTTATTTTAACTAAACTATAGCCCCTTAATAAAACTTTTGTAGTTTTAATGTATCAAATACATCAATAAGAAACTATGTGCAAAGTTTTGAGTTTCTGGATCAAAGATATTTATCATAAACAGTGATTGAAAGTTGAGTAAATTCTTAACTTAAGTCTGAGAATGCTTTGTGAACTCGGGGCCTGGTTGGACAGTCCTGAGAAACTTTCGCGACCCACATCAGGTGCAAGCCAGCTTTTAGCCACTGCAGCACCCAAAATGTACTTATATGTGATACAATATAGAGATGAAAAGTAAAAGCATTATAAAAAGGGAAAGAAATAATTTTAGATATCTTGATTATTACATGCACTCTCAGAAATTAGACTAAGTCTCAGCTTAGTTTAGGCCCCTACTTACATTTGCAAGTCAGAAACATGATATTTTAAAATCAATGACATGTTTAGAAAATCTACTTGTTAAGACAAAAAATCGTCTTTTGATTAATGTCAGTTATAGATGATTTTACTTGAAAAGTCATCCGTTACATGTAGGTTAGATATCTTTATTAAATCTAAATGACACTTCCAGTATTTTTGTTTCAGAGTAAAAACAAAGATATCTAGTAAATATGGACTACCAAGTCAGCCACGATTAGTGGATATAATTGCTGCGGTACCCAACCAATACAAAAAAGTAAGTTTTTACGTATTACATAATTTTAATTGTCCCCGACCTTAAAAAGAAAGCAGGGAACTATCAAAATGGATCTGTCCGTCCGTCACAGTTTTTGGGACACAATAATTCTCATTCTAATTGAGCTAGAATGTTCAATCTTGGTGTAGGCGTTTATTACGTCAGTGCCTTGATGGAGTTCAAAGATGAGCATTTTAGGCTTAGCGTAAGCAGAGATAAGCAATTTCATTGGGACATGATAAATTCAGTTCAAATTAAGTGAGAGTGATCAAACGTGGTGCATAGTTTTATCACATCAAACCTTGACTAAGTTTGATAATGAATATTTTCTGCTGAGCGTAAGCAGAACGATAAGCAATTTGATTGGTCGAGACATTGGAACACAATAACTCTCCTTCTAATTGAGATAGAATGTTCAAACTCGGTGTAGGCGTTCATAGGTGAATGCCTTGATGGAGGTCGATGATGGACATTGTTTGCTTATGGTAAGCAGACATAAGCAATTTGATTGGTTTATGCTTTGGGGCACGATAACTTTGGTTATAATTAAGTGAGAGCGATGAAACTCCCAGTATAGATTCATTATATCTTTACCTTGACTAATTTCGATGATGAGAATTTTCTGCTTAGGCTAAGGAGCGATAAGCAATCTGACTGGTCAAGACTTTGGAACATAACAACTCTGCTTTTAATTGAGGTAGAATGTTTAAATTTGATGTAGATGTTCATTAGGTGAATGTCTTGACTGAGTTCAATGATTAACATTTCCCGCTAAAGCTAAGCAGAGCTAAGCAATTTCATTGGTCAGTAATTTGGGACAAAATAACTTTGATTGCATCTGATAGAGACTGATGAAACTTAGTGTATAGTTGATAATCAGTTTGATTGCTCAATACTTTTGAATAAGATAAATGCAATTAATTAGTATGTATCGGGATTTTGGCGGAGGACATCAGCCTCACTGTTATGATAAAGAAGAAGATATTCTGAATTTGGGTTCATCTTATTATTCCTGCAGTTCATCAACAAGTTACTAGTCTCCATGCCTCTGCGTTATAAGTCAAGCAGGGTCATCGATTCTATTATGTGATTTCAAGTTGTATGAAGTGACAACCATTGCTACGGTTCATGCAGCAGCTAGTCATTCGTTTGGTAATCACCAGTTTGAGTGACCGCAGCGTTTGATTTCAACAACATTTGTTCAAATCATGATGCACCAAATTCATATTCCAGTAATAACTTTCTTAAAGGACAATATTGGGAAAACTCGTGTTTTCCTTTGGTGTTCGTCACTTCCGATTCAGGAAACCTGTATTACTCAGCTATCGTAGCAATGATCTCTAGGTTAAAATTATATTTGGAAAGTGTTTAACCAGCTCTATCACATATGTGATAATGACTGGCACCAATATTGTCCTTTAACGATGGTTTTTAGGGTTGGTGTGTGAATTTTATTAGTTTAAACTTATTTCTACCAGGTGTCCTGATACAGTTGTTTCAATTCTTGTTGGTAAAAGTAATTTGTTTATTTTTAAGGCATTGCTACCAAAACTGAAAGCCAAGCCAGTTCGTACAGCCAGTGGGGTAAGTTATAATTATTAATTATTTGTTTAATTGTTACATACATATAGAGATGATTATAATGTGGTCCTGCTATTGAAGCTGCTGGTGAGCATATGTTTCTGTTACCTGGTAAACTATTTTTCTTTTATTTACTACCCTTAGTAAGATTTGCGATCTATAAACAGATTGCTCTGATAGTTTTTAGTTATAGCATTGTTCAGTGGACATATCGTAGAATAGAAAAATATCTGCAAAGCTAATATCATGCTATGAGCTTTTTATCAATAAATTCAAACAATTTGGAAAAGACATGTTAATAGAACAAAACCTCAGCTTGTGTAAAACTCAGACTGCAGATCTTATTGAAATTGTCTGTTTATGATAGAAATGATTTTTTTTCTGAACAGATAGCTGTAGTTGCTGTTATGTGTAAACCTCATCGATGTCCTCATATTGCTATGACAGGAAATATTTGTGTGTAAGTCTTTTGTAATATTATAATTTATGAAAATTTTTGGTATGATGATTCAAGTTAAGGGAACATGGGGCAATAGCTGGAAGTTATTTCCATGAAGTATTGACATAAAACCGTGTCTCTTTTTTGCATATTGAATTGTGCCTTAAAAAAAGATCAGCTACTGAGAACTATTTATCTCTGTATATTGCTGTACACAATTAAGTCCTGTTTATAAATAGGGGTTCCATTTCAAATTTTTTCATGTAGGATCTCTCAGTATTGCATTGACAAGGAGTTTCTTGTTGATGTAGAACTATTTCAAGGATATAACTTTAAATTTAAGGATACATTATGTAAGATTTAGATAAAGAACTGGCCATTCTTGCCATAATAGTTCAAAAATAGATAATGCAAAATGAATATATTGAATATTTCATTCGAATTACTTTATTCTGATTGAAGTTATCACTGTTTGAAGCTTTGACAAGATGTGGCATAGACTGTATATTATCACAACAGTACTTGTTATTCAAGTCTTAGCCTTGATACGCAATTTTTAAATTAAATCATAAAATGGTGACCGTGTTTTAGTCCATTTAAATCTCCACCATCCGATGGTCTAGAGTTGATTGGAGTCTTGTCATGTGAATAAATGTCTAAATAATAGTTTATATAACATTTGAAGCCAAAAGAAATCTGCAAAAACAATAGGGCAATTTAGCTCTTACATAATGCATCTTTAACATACGAATATGTTGGACTGATATGATGTAGTTCTCTGGAAGATATCCTATCTCACATCTATGATGTATATTAATAAAGTGTTTATGCTGATAAATCTTTGTTGATTTTACTAGATATTGTCCTGGCGGTCCAGATTCTGACTTTGAATACTCGACACAATCTTATACAGGTTATGAGGTAAAGTTGAACAATTTAATACTAAGATCAGAATGATTCTCATGATAGAAACAAACAGTATCATATGTATATTTTGTGCAATGGTAAATATATTATTTGTGATTGACCATTAACGCTTTTCAATAAAGCTGGAAAGATCGAAAGTAATCAACGCAATTGTGTGAATTTCTTTGTTGTATAATTTTTAGGTAACAAATATTTAGATATTTTCGGAAAACATTAGAAAGGAATAGTGCCCATGTAATTTGCTTATATTTGTAGTATTATAAATATTTTTGCAGCCGACATCAATGAGAGCTATAAGAGCTCGTTACAATCCATATTTACAGACTAGACATAGAGTGGAACAGGTAAATATAGTATATTAACCACTTGGTGCTTTATATTTTATATACGCCCACATTTACTTTGGTTAAAATAGATGGTTTTGTGATACCCATGTCACCACCGTATCAAGTTTATTGTGATTTGGATCCCATCAAAGTTTATGTTATTCAGCTGGTTCTGGATTCCTCTCTTTCTTTTTTTTTATTTGGATTCATATTTACTTTGAACGTACACATATATTATTGTCAACTCTGTTTGTTCGTCTGTCCGCTTTTCTTGTTAACACTCAAGCTATTGTTGGATTTTTTTCACAAACTTGCAAAGATTGTTCATTTGGTCGTAAGGAAGATCCCAATTGATATTCAAAATTCAGAATTACGAAATCTTGTGAAGTTGGTACAGGACAAAGTTCTTGATAAAATATTTTAAATCTCATAGGGATTATTTATTAGAGTATAAAGATGAACCCTATCGAATTTAATATGTTTTTGATGGCTAAGTGCTGAGTTATCCTTTCTTTTAGTTTCAGATTTATGAAATAATATGTTAACACAATGAATTACTAGAGTTGTTGAAACAGTTTTTTTAACCTCGGTGATAAATTTATTGAAACTTAGTGAAATTGTTCATAGGGGAATAATAAGGAACCTTTTGGAAATTCAGAATATTTTGATTATATATTTTGAAGTTAACACCTTGTTTACTTTTAAATTCATAAAATCTTGTGAACATTGCTGCTGGTAGGTGTATTTGTGGTGTCTGTATTGTCTTATGTTGTCGTAACAGACAGTGACATTTTAGATTATCTCTGATGTGTTTACTGTTTTATGATTAGCTGGGCAGGTTTCAAATGAAAAATTTAACAATGGCTAATTGCATCAAATATTTGGAGAAATAAATTAATTTACTTGAAGTTCTCATACACCTCAAAATTATTTTCTTTTATATTCTGGCTGTTTTGGAGATCCTGTTACAAGCTGTGGTGGTATTGTGTTCAATGCATGGTATGCTTAGTATTTCTGATGCATCTGATACCAATTGCTACTAGGCTTAGATTAAGAAGCCCCTGCTGTTGTCTCGTCATATGATTATTTTGTATTTTTCAGCTACAACAACTAGGACATAGTGTAGATAAAGTAGAGTTTATTGTAATGGGAGGAACGTTTATGAGTTTACCAGAAGAATATAGAGATTATTTTATTAGAAATTTACATGATGCTCTGTCTGGTCATACTAGTTGTAGTGTTAATGAAGCAGTCAAGTAAGTTGATATTTTCTTAAATATGATATTGTGCTGTCTAAAGTTGCCTAAATGGTCTGTAGTATCAATGGGGAAATAATGTTACTGATAAGCAGTCATCAAGTTAATTTAGGGATATACTTCATATGGTGATGCTTGCTATAAAAGTTGTTGGTTTCTCCCCAAAACTTTGCTACAGTGATGCCCATGGCCTTCATACTTATAAGTGTTTCTTTGTGACGTGTATTTTTTCAGTTGAACAAGAGACACTCTTTTTAATGTATATGTTTTTGTAATGTATTTTTTTTAGCAATAGAAAGGAAATAAAGATAAATATTTGTCTTATTTTAAATTAATTTACATGTATTTCAAAAAATATTTTCTGTCTCGTGTATTTTTTTTTAGGTTTTCAGAGAAAAGTAGAACGAAATGTATAGGTATTACCATAGAAACCAGACCTGATTATTGTCTAAAGAAACATTTAAGGTATGTCAGAAGACTGTTAGTTTATTTAAGATATATAATAATTATTATGATAAATATAAGTATGTTTGTTTATTATTGAAGTATTTCTAAACAAATACATTTCTAAACTAATCATTATATGAAAATCAATATCTTGAATATTTTCAGTGATATGTTAAATTATGGATGTACACGTTTAGAAATTGGAGTACAAAGTGTATATGAAGATATTGCCAGAGATACTAATAGGTATATTATATTTAATTTATTTCATTTATGAATCTAAACTGATTATTTTATGAGTCACTTTTTCATCAATTTCCTTTACATTTTGCAGAAATACCCATGAAAGTTAAAATTGTTGATCATCCTTTGGTTTTTTCAGACAATATTTAATTTTTCACAGCTTAATCCATGCTACAAAGTAGTTACATAACATTTAATAAAGAAACCACAATCAAAATATCAACGGTAGATAATCTCCTGGCATTGATTCAGTCAGATTTCAGCGATAGTCAGATGTGTTGATTATTTCAGTGGATGCCGAATGTCGACATCTTTGTAAATACTAAAAGTAACTCATTCAATGATTCTGTATCATATCGTGATAGCCAGTTTTCACTCAAACATGAATTATGTTATGCAAAATATTTATCCAGTGCCAAAAAATATAAATTGAGTCTAATGTGGGATATCTAAGTCCTGATCTGCCTTGAAATCCTTGAAAACCACTAAAACATTTGTATGTCCATATCTTATTGATAGCTTGGCCGATTTATCTAAGATTTGTATACAATCTAATTGTCCCCCGCCTTTCGAAGAAAGCAGGGGACTATTAAAATGGGTTCGTCCGTCTGTCTGTCTGTCTGTCTGTCCGTCTGTCCGTCCGTCCCACTTTTTGGGACACGATAACTCTCTTCCTAATTGAGCTAGAATGTTCAAACTTGGTGTATGTGTTTATTAGGTCAATGCCTTGATGGAGTTCGAAGATGAGCATTTTCCGCTTAGGGTAAGCAGAGATAAGCAATTTGATTGGTTGATGCTTTGGGACACGATAACTCTCTTCCTAATTGGGCTAGAATGTTCAAACTTGGTGTATGTGTTGATTAGGTCAATGCCTTGATGGAGTTCGAAGATGAGCATTTTCCGCTTAGGGTAAGCAGAGATAAGCAATTTGATTGGTTGATGCTTTGGGACACGATAACTTTTAATTGAGCTAGAATGTTCAAACTTGGTGTATGTGTTTATTAGGTCAATGCCTTGATGGAGTTCGAAGATGAGCATTTTCCGCTTAGGGTAAGCAGAGATAAGCAATTTGATTGGTTGATACTTTGGGGCACGATAACTCTCTTCCTAATTGAGCTAGAATGTTCAAACTTGGTGTATGTGTTGATTAGGTCAATGCCTTGATGGAGTTCGAAGATGGGCATTTTCCGCTTAGGGTAAGCAGAGATAAGCAATTTGATTGGTTGATGCTTTGGGACACGATAACTTTAGTTGTCCCCCGCCTTTTGAAGAAAGCAGGGGACTATTAAAATGGGTTCGTCCGTCTGTCTGTCTGTCCGCCTGCCTGTCCGTCCGTCTGTCTGTCCGTCACACTTTTTGGGACACAATAACTCTCCTTCTAATTGACCTAGAATGTTCAAACTTGGCGTGGGTGTATATTAGGTCAATGCTTTGATGGAGTTCGAAGATGAGCATTTTCTGCTTAGTGTAAGCAGAGATAAGCAATTTGATTGGTTGATGCTTTGGGACACGATAACTTTAGTTCTAATTAAGTGAGAGTGATGAAACTTGGTGTATAGTTTTATTACATCAGTACCTTGACTAAGTTCGATGATGAGCATTTTCTGCTCAGGGTAAGCAGAGCGATAAGCAATTTGATTGGCCGAGACTTCGGAACACAATAACTCTCCTTCTAATTGAGCTAAAATGTTCACACTGCTTCTAATTGAGGTAGAATGTTTAAACTTGATGTAGATGTTCGTCTTGACTGAGTTCAATGATTAACATATCGATCTCAAGCTAAGCAGAGATAAGCAATTTCCATGGTCGATGCTTTGGGACAATATAACTTTGATTCTGTCTGATAGAGAGTGATGAAATTTAGTGTAAAGTTGATAAACAGTTTGATTGGTCGATACTTTTGAAAAAAATAGATGTGCGATTAATTAATATGTGGCATCTATTTATTTGCGGATTTCGGCGGGGGACATCAGCCTCACTGTTGGCTTGTTTAAATTGTGAACATCCCTGATAATGATATTGTGTATAGAAAAAATCATGTTAAAAACATTTGAAGAATAACTATGCAATAATTTAAAGTCGTGAACACATTAGTAAGAATATCTCCAAGTCCAATCCAACCTATTAACATTGTCCTGTTAATGTTTCAGGGGTCATACAGTAAAAGCTACATGTGAATCCTTTCAAATGTCTAAAGATGCTGGTTTTAAAGTTGTATCACATATGATGCCTGATTTACCTAATATTGGTTGGGAAAGAGATATAGAACAGTTTATTGTAAGTACATTCGTAAATTCATATTGAACAAATTTGTGTTACTATTATCTGTATTGTGTAGTGTCTGGACCATACAGGCTAGATTCTATACAAATTATTTTCTGTCAAATAAATGCATTAATTAGTGAGGTTCATAGGCTAATAGATATGCTTTGTGCAATAGGTGATTTACATCATATTTTATATCTTCATTTTGAATAGGAATTTTTTGAGAATCCAGATTTTAGACCAGATGGTTTGAAGATTTATCCCACTTTAGTTATCAGAGGAACAGGTTTGTATAATTTATTTCCCAATATTCGTGTGAACAAACTTGGTTTATATAGTTAAAAATAAAATCTATTATTCAAATCAAAGTGTTACCTAATGTACCCTCTGATTTTTAGTAGTCTAATTCTATTAGTATGCACATTTTATTCCTTTGATATTAGTATGCACGTAAGATATTTGTACAGATGTAAAATTGATTTTGTTTCAAGATAATTTTGGCATAGTCCATCTCTCATGTCTAATAAAACTGTATTAATATAAAACAAGTAAGATTACATTTGCGAAGTACTTTAAACTACTTTGTATGGCCATGTTCATTTTCTTTTAGCCCACACAGGTTTAAATTTAAGGATTTAAGGATATCTTTTATAAAGGATACCTTTCTGACTGTTGATGCTGGCTTAATATATGTTTAATAAACTATATCTATTTTATTGTATTTTAGGTTTGTATGAATTGTGGAAAACAGGAAGATATAAGAGTTATCCCCCTAGTGTCCTTATTGATCTAGTTGCTAGGATACTGGCACTAGTACCACCATGGACACGAATCTACAGAGTTCAGAGGTTAGATATGTCTAAAGCAGTTAGAAAATATTGAAAAACTGTTGGAAATCAAAGTGAAGAACTCTTTTAGAAAATAAGCTTAGTGTCATTTTATGGCTAAAATGATGAGTTCTGTTTGAAAAAATACAAAATGATGAAATTATATATTAATGAATTTAAAACAATATGTTATTTGCTCTTTTACTATAATTATTATTTAAAACATGTATAAAAATTTAAAATCAAGCTCCTGTCTTTTTGAAATTAGCTCCCATGTCCTTTGATGCTGTGCCTAGGCTGCTACATTGACTTGTTTACATCCCTTACAACTGTTGGTATGACAAGAATTCCGGGGTGGAATATTGAAAATAAACCAAGAAAGCAATGTTATAGTGACTGCGATACAAGCAGTCGTTTCTCATACTATGACCATCACATGTTTACGTCCATACGTTGGATTCAGTGTAAAGGCCTTGAAACAATCAGGTTGAATCAAATTCCTGATGTAATGGTAATGAGCATTATCAGATCTTTAACCATTGCAAAACATGCTAGCTATAATTTCATTTGTCTACAAGGTCGCTGTTAAATAAATGGTGTTTAGCCTACATAGAAACGAGCACAAGAGAAAGATAATTATTCTGAAACATTGCTTCAGGAATATGGAGTTGAATTGATCGCTATGTAGTTAAAATCTTAAATAATTGATGTTTTTACAGAGATATACCGATGCCTTTAGTAACATCTGGTGTTGAACATGGTAATTTACGAGAACTAGCTTTAGCCAGAATGAAAGATTTAGGAACACAATGTCGTGATGTTAGAACCCGAGAAGTTGGTATACAGGAAATACACCACAAAGTTCAACCATATGAGGTAAGAAATCATGTATTAAGACAATGATGTCTTCTCTCTTTGTGAAAGGGGGGTTGGATGGCCGAATGGTTAGCATGTGTGAGCTGTATCATAAGGTCTGTCATTGAGTCAACTGGAGTGGTTTCAATTCCCCGGTTTTACATGATAAGGAGTAGGGTCGCCTGTCCGATCTCATGGGTTTTCTCTGGGTCCTCCGGTCTCCTCCCACAGCTATAGACCCCCACACGCAAGAAATTATTGAAATAAAATTGAACCATGTGTTAGTGCCGAAATGACCCCTCTCTCTCTGTGAATCTTCAATATAGTTATTCTATAATTAGAGAATTTCAATTTATGCCATCAATAATCCTCTACTCATTTGTGGTACTTTGCAAGGATAAGTCTAGAATGGGATAGAAATCCATGATCCTCTGAACACATTGGTAGTGCACATAAAACATTTATTGTCAGTTGGAATTTGATAAAGAGTAGACCTGCATGGAAATGCTGCCTCAAGTTATAATTTGTCTTCTTAGCATTTCGTACATAACTGTAGAATGAATACCATATGTTAATCTCAAATGGTTAATGTTTATTATTGGAATCTTTACAGGCGGAACTAATTCGAAGAGATTATGTTGCTAATGGAGGCTGGGAAACATTTTTATCATATGAAGATCCTGAACAAGACATTTTGATTGGTTTATTGAGGTTACGTAAATGTTCGGAGGATACATTCCGCCCAGAATTAACAGGTGGTTGTTCTGTAGTTAGAGAATTACATGTTTATGGAAGTGTAGTACCAGTACATGCTCGTGATCCTACAAAGTTTCAACATCAGGTAATTCAATTTGAGATAGCATTTTAAAAAAACAAACCAATGTGTATTGAATGGAGACTTTATGAAAATTCTCTCAATCTTTGAAAAAAAAAGAAAGTTATCTCAGTTAAAAATCTGTTCAGTCATTCTGTTTGATGCTAAAATAAATTAAATAAGTAAATTAGTACACTGTTTGGACCATTGCAGTAGCCTATTGTTGGTAACACAAGCCTACAATAAATTAGGTTAACCACCGTTTCCAGTAACACCAGCACTTGTCAAACAAGCCACCAATAAGCTAATTAAAATAACAGTTGGAATTTGAAATAAGAGTAGGCTGTAGTCTTCATTAGCCTAGTCGGACGTTGAACCCCATTTCATTTCAATTCATTTTTCGTAAAAAACGATTCCCAGAAGTTTTGAATATGTTTTCCAATCAGTTATTATGTTGAGAAAATCTCGAATCTAGTACATTCAAGGAGTAAACATACTGACTGTATCCACTGATCACGTGTATATACCTACACAATTATGGCATAGACAAAAGTTAACAAGATAGTATAAGATAAAGTAGAATTGTTTTAGTTAAATGTATCAATATATTCTAGGGATTTGGTATGTTATTAATGGAAGAAGCAGAAAGAATAGCAAGAGAAGAACATGGTTCATGGAAAATGGCTGTTATTTCCGGTAAGGATTCACCTCATTTGATGGAATTGATATTATGGCTTAATGCTTTTAGGAAAATCCTTGGCTAAATTAACTGTTAAAGTTTACTTACTTTGTTCTATAAGTCTCAGCTTTATAATAAAGTATCCTACATATTCTTGATATCTTTCATCTTACTAGGAGGGTAACTCTGTGTTTTACTGTCATTACCCATGCCTTGAGGTGTAGAACATACTATGATATTCTTATCTCCATTTAAAGGTCATTCCCCATGTCTCTGCAACTCGTATATTTTGTGCTACATTAATTTTATCTTGAATTATGGATACTGAGCCAGTACCTTGTTAGATCTTGGTAACTTGGAAGACAGAAAGTATCTTATTGAAGGACACAGTTCAACACCAAGCTAGAGTAAACTCTAGATAGTTATAATTAATAATAATAATAATAATATAATGAATTTATAAAGTGTCTGCATTCCAGTAAAAATTACTGCTCCGCGGCGCTATTACATTTTGTTAAATAAAAAAAAAAATGAATTATACATATAATCACGGAAATTTAAGATGAAAGCGCAAGCATTATATAAAACTTAGCTAAAAAGTTCAGTTATTAAAAGTCATCACAATCGGCACATTAATCTTTGTAAACATGTTCAATTTTTTAAAAGTCATCACAGACACTCCATAAAATTTTGTCTAAAAGTTCAATTTTTAAAAATCATCACGACCACTACATGAAACTTTGCTTAAAACTCAACCTTTTATAACCCCTAATAACACTTTTAATTTGAGGAGTTCACCTAGCTAACAAATGTTTTAGTACTTTTGATTGCAATGAAACAAGGATTACACAACCAGCAGAACAAGGCTGTAACTGTGTGATCATAGAATAAGCTTACTATGTGTGGCAGTTAGCTAAGTTCTGTCTCGATTCTGGAAAGTTTTATTGGTTCACAGGACAATTAATTGTATCTTTATTTTTATTGTTTCTGTTATTAGGTGTTGGTACAAGAAATTATTATAGAAAAATTGGATATGAATTAGAAGGACCATATATGACTAAATTACTTAACAAAGCTGAGGAATAAACATTGACTGGATAGCCAAGTAATTAAATTCAACAGCTATTGGCCAAAACTTGATATCATTCTAGATCTGTAGAACCTGAATATGTATTACAAAGCTGCACTCAAATAATCTCAAAATCAAGATATTAATATACAAAATGATGGCAGATCTAGTGTGTGTGTGTGGGGGGGATCCGGCTCACGACCTCCCCTCCTCCCCCCTGTCCCATCTGGATTTCTAATTAAGAAAGCCCCCATTATAATTCATTATTTTAGAACCAGATTTTTGTCTCAGATCATTGTAAATGGCATTTCCAGTCTTCTAGATTTACAAATTTTCCGGGGAAGGACACTCGTACCCTCCGTTGTGCGCATTGCACCCATGGCACTCGCAGCATGGGCCCCCTTATCCATGGTCTCTAGATCCGCCATGGCTTACTTATTATAATCATGTTACATCTCTCTGTAAAAGTGCGAGAAAAAAATGAAATATTGTTTTTGATGACATTGATATATATGTTATTCTATATAAAATATTGTACAAATTATTATGTAATATATAATTAAACCCTTGTTTTTATTGTTAGTTTTCATTCATTTCACAATTATTTAATAATTTAAGGGGGATTAGAATTCTCAACAAGAAAACAAATATACATGTAATTAATTTCATTTGTAACATGGATGGGAAATCTTCCTTTGTCCTTTTCGTTTGAATAAGCAGATTGTTTTCCCTCTAGTAGATTGTGTGGAGCTTAACCATGCAATAACTAGACATGTTCAATGTTAATGCACACTTTTGCTGGTTTACACTAGTTTTAGTAGAAATCATATAGAGAAGTGGGGTGGGTTTTCTGTGCAATAACAATAAGCATGTTGAGCAGTTGTCAATGTTACATGTCATATTTATAGCACCCTTCATTCGTCTTGATGTTTAAACTTGTTAACTCATGAAAGCCGTGCTATAAATATAACATATTATATTTGTATTCAACATAATGCAAGAGTCGAACACAAATCCAATTTTAGTTTCATTTACTGTGTTGATAAATTTCAGCCAAGACAGATTGTCATCCCACAAAACAAAGCAATATTTAAAATTCAATAAAATCGTCATTTTAACCCAAATCAAAAAGTTAAAAATGTTAGCGATGGAGTAGCAGATTTGTCTCAAGTTGTAGTAAAATACATATCAAATTTCCAAAAGGCCACTTGAATCATGGGGTGTGGTAGGGTGAGAAGAAGCTTCAAGGAAAGTGGTCATTTGAAAGGGACAGAAAACGTAGGTCTACCTGTGCCGACACAAGTGCACGTAAAACAAACGCAGTAATCTAAAATTTGTTATTCATAAAAATACCTCTTACTATACCTTTGGAAGTCTGATAAGATTCCTTATGATTCGACCAAGGCGTGGATAAACAAGCAGACGAATAGATTTGATGGAGAGAGAATAAATAGTGGGAGTAGGAAATTAAACTGGATTTACCCCCCTTTGACTTTCACACGATTCTCGTGTAGGCAGCGGTAAGGTCTAAATATTAAGGCCACCTCCAGATTTTGTCATGGTCACGAGATGTAAACAGGCTAGGGCACGTGATTGTTACCGAGGATTGTGACCTTGATATCTGCAAGTGCCCTAGTTATTTACATCTGACCGGTAAACAGCTGAGCAAATCAAAACAGGACATAATTTTATTGCGCAATTTAGCCTAATTTTAATATATTCCTCCTGGTTGTATTGTTTACCTGTTATTTTCCACAGACGCCACAGTCAACATATTTATATAGAGTTTAATTCCACAAAATTAATAAATAAATCACGATTAGATAATCACCATGATATTGTTTAACGAGGCAAGACTGACCAATATGCGTCATTAAACTCTCTTATTTGCATTTCATTTTCAATAACAATGCCACTTCCCACACAACAAAGATATGGCCAAACATATTTACGACTACACAACACATTTTAAACTTGAAGAAGTTATTCAATTTAATACCAAGGTGTTGTCAGTTGAAAGAATGGGTGTCAATGGAAGCATCATATATATATATGTATATTGAAAATAACAATAAGTTTGTCGACAAATGAACTTTATTTCTTTTCAATCTGTGAAAATACAAAGTAATTCAACATATGTATAGATCTGGTCAGATTTGAACAAAATGTGAAATTCGCTTGTTTTCGGTTACTACAAATCAGACAAATGTATTTGTATACCAGGTCCGGTTTTTGGCACATATGACCAATTTCCCGAAATTGGGCCCTGCACTAGAAAGGGGCCCCTCAGCTCCCCAACTTAAATGATTTCCAGGCAATCTGGCAGCAGGACTGCCAGGTGTGGCTATTTTCAGGTATTAATCGATTACTAATTGTGAAGTAAAGCACAGTTGACAATAAATATGAATGCATATAAGCCTAGTTAAATTTATTCATACCAAAGAGAGAGAGAGAGAGAGAGAGAGAGGGTTTAACGTCCACTCGACACAAACCAGATCATTTCGGGACTAACACATGGTTCAATTTTATTTCAATAATTCGCTTGCGCGTAGGTGTCTTTAGCAGTGGGAGGAAACAGAAGGACCCGGAGAAAATCCACGAGGTTGGACAGGCGACCCTACTCTTTGTCAAGTACAACTGGGGAATCGAAACCACGCCAGTTGACTCAATGACACCCCTTATGATACAGTGCACACATGGGAAGTGGTATGAGGTGTTTTTGAAAGAGTAAGCGTAGCCTACCTCGTACACAGCGGCATACTAAAATTTCTCCAAAATACCACACCCACGAAAAAGAAAATTACAAAGGGGCATAAAATGTACAAATCAGGCCTGAAATTCAATCTGGATAGGCTACAAGTTTGCAAATATTTTTGTTGTTGATGGCAAATGGAATAAAGATCGCGTTCATAGTCGAACGCAGACTTGCCATTTGTAATCTACGTGGTGTAGTCTGTAGAATTATAATTGACATGACTTTGTAATAATAAACCGTTATGCACATGCTTGTTTCGAGTTTTAAACAATTATATTATTGATGTTTCTATAAGCACAATATTCATCGTGAAATAGGCCAAGCGTTCTTGCTTTTTCGCGATTTGTGATCCACGTGGCGATAAACTAGAATTATCGCTTAAAACAGATGTCCTCAAACAGTCTAATATTAAAACGTTTCGTCTGTTATCGCTCTTACCTTCAGTCAGAAATATAAGGATTACTCGTGTTTTCCTTTTGCTTGCGTCACTTCCGGTTTCTTCAAATCTTCGTTACGCATCCACCACAGTAATGATCTCCGTGTTAATATGATATCTGGTATGTGTTTAATCAGTTCTATCACATATTATTATGTAATATTGGCTGACACCAATACTGTCAGAATAGCATACAACTAAATCTAAAATGACTTTATTCATAAAAAAAGTTCGCTTATATTACTATACCTTTGGAAGTCTGATATGATTCCTTATGATTCGACCAAGGCGTGGATTAAATGGTACCAACTAAAATAACGCAGACGAAGAGATTTGATGACGAGACAATGAATAGTGGGAGTAGGCCGTTAAACTGGATTTATCTCCCTTTGCCTTTCACACGCGTCGAATCAAAACCGGACATATATTATTGCGCAATTGGTTTTAATAATATTATATTACTCCTGGCTGTATTGTTTACCTGTTATTTTCCACAGTCAACACATCTGTTCCTGTTTACACTGTGTTCTAAATATAGTTTTTGATAGCACAAAATTAATAAATAAATCACGATCATAACAATCAACATGTTTTTGTTTAAAATAGGTAAGACTGACCGCTGATCTTGAAACTTGAAAAATATTCAAATGCATATATCATACGTGGTGGCGACTAAATTACAAGAACAATTAGAAATTCGATAACATATCAAGGCCGAACGATTTGAAAATCGGAAACGTGGCAAATGTCCTATGACATGTCCTATGATCTACTGTACATCCTGGACCACTCAGTCACCAAACTACCCCTTTTTGGCAGGCTACCAAATACAATTTTACAAATGGAAAAGTAATAAATAAAGCACTATAATAGTTAATGTAGACATGCTTATGGACATTACTATAATGAGCACAGTTCAAATACAATTTTTGGTGAAGAAGATAGAAAGAGATTCAAAATAATCCTAACCCTTGTTAGCTCTCTGTGCCGCGTTGGAGCCCGGTATCTATCTCGGTGTTGGCTAAGAAAGTTACTCAGGGTTTTCCAGCGTGGTTTCCTTTTGTCAGTGGTACTATAGGACGAAAAACCAAGGTTTCGTGTACACGTCGGCAAGCACGTAAAGGAACCCTTGGGAGTTGGAATGCGACGAAGAGTAAGCGGAAACGCCACCCTCCTTTCAAAACTTCCTTCATAGTCCACTGCATGGATGCCCGTCTTCAATTTCCCGGTTGGTGCAAAAAAGTAGGACGTTAAAACCCATTGCATTTCATTTCTGTGGCGTGTTACTTAATGCACAAATCTTGGTACCTGGCCGAAAATACGAACGATTGCTAAATACTGAGTCAGTTATGACTAGTTTTTGCCCTTTGATATGTAACACTTTTGTTTGCGATTATATAGATAAAAGTATCATTTATTTGTATTTAAATACTGACTATCATTAACGAGCTTGTCAGCTTATCTGTAAAAGGCGATGTCTCGTAATGCTTTCGTAATTTAATACGGACTTGAAACATCGGGTTTTATCTGTCTTGTTCACAGCTGTGAGTATGACCGCCATACACAGTAATAACTTAATAAACCTATATTTGGACCTATCCATTTACTTATTTTATTACACGGCGATATCAGGACATATACGGTGTCGGTTCATATCTGATAAAAAAAAATCAAAGAGACTTAATTAATATATGAATCAACTTTGCGTGGGTCTTCGCTGTTGATATAGGAATACGGGAAAAGAGAGTTTTGCCCGGACAGTGTCATATCCATAATACTCCTCCTCGAATTTCATCTGTACAAGGGTTATTTTGCAAATTGTATCTCTACACATGTGAGAATGGGAAAAAATTGTAATTTGTAGTTGATAGGAGTTGGCCTGCTTTGGTGACGTATAAAGTGTCTCTAAAGCCCCTCACCCCACCATCTCGTCAAAAGGGATCCGGGGATCCAGTCCATGGGAAAATGGGGATTTCGAGGGCATTTCACACTAGCCTAGGTTTGTGGAATCAACCATTAGTTTAAACATATTTTATGACATTAAACTAAACGGATCGGACAAAAGTTACTAAAACTTGCAAGGGAGTCCTCTCCAATAAAATATAATTGTCATAGGTGGTCAGTGAAACAAAGTCAATAATTGTATACACATGTCAGATACAAATAAACAATAAATTAACAAAACAAACATATTTACACACGATCAGAGTTTTTAAACCGTTGTCATTCAAATTCTTGGTAAGATGTTATTCTTTTGACTATAAAAATATTACACTACTTCTTCTAATATACGGGTTCTCGCGTCTGATAATGTCTGCAGGACTGACAAGGGTATAGTAAGCATAACCAACTTGGTTGGAAGAAAACCTATGGTCTAACCGTGCACGAACAGGTGGTTGCGGGAACGAAATAAAAAAAACAATTTGAATCCCCGATTAAGGACATTTGCCCGTCTGAATGACCAATAATTTATAGGAAATTTCAGTTATTTTTCAAAACATAATCTAGGGAGTGCCCCACCCTTAATATTTATATTGCATTGTACGACCATGGCTTTTTTCTACGGTCATTGCATATGTAACTAGATCACCTTAAATAACTGTAAAATCAACATGTTTACCGCGCGGCGAATCCCACACATATAACCTGTTTGTAGTTATTAATTAATACACGTATATTAGTTATTATAAGCATAGACCCACCGTCTGTATTTAAAATAATTACCTGTATGCTCTGTCGTATATATGGCACGAAGGATATATTTGGAGATTAATTTTATTTTCATCCACATCCAAGTAGCAATTATATGATTTTGTGTATATTGTCGTGCTTATGGACTATATCGATATAGAAATGACGGGATAACACGAATCAACATAAACACGATTTTAATTTCCATCAATAACAGAATTAACGAATTCAAATTCTGATACAGGTACACGTGTTCGATCACGTTTGTGAAACGTGAAATTCAAACTGACTTGCATGAACACAATAACATGGCCACGGTGATTCAGTGAGTAAGCCCGTGAAATTTCTGGCGTGGGTTTCTCCCTGTCAGTGGTGTAGCACGGAGGGTTTGATAATGAACACCATCTAGATGGAACGAAAAACCAAAGTCTTGTTGGCATGCACGTGTAACGAGATGAAATGAAATGGGGTTTAACGCCCTACTGCTCTGCTGCACCGACTGGGGTAATGCGACTGGGGTAATGAAGACAGTGTGCTATGAGAGAAATTTTGCCCTGCTCCTATTTCGAATTCCAACTGTCGATGGTTCTTTTACGTACACGACAGTGTGAAGGCCTACATGGGATCTCGTTTTTTCGTCCTGTTTTAAAGTTAACACTGGCCAGGCCCTCCGTCCCATTCCAATGACAAAGAGGAACCATTGAACTTTCTCAGGGGCGAACACGGGAGCTCCAGGTTAGCAATCCAACATCTTACTCACTGAGCCACCGCGACTCCCTGGCGTGTACGTAAACAACACCCTAGACAGTTGGAATTCAAAATAGGACTCTTTCTTACTGCGGGGGATATGTCCGTCTTCATTTGTAGATAAAAGTATGACGTTAAACTTCATTTCATTCATTTTAGAGAGAGGGAGAGAGATAGAGAGAGAGAGAGAAATGGGGTTTAACGTCCACTCAACACAAACCAGGTCATTTCGGGACTAACATATGGTTCAATTTTATTTCAATAATTTGCTAGCGTGTAGGGCTCTTTAGCAGTGGGAGGAAACCAGAGGACCCGGACAAAACCCACGAGGTTGGACAGGCCACCCTACCAGTTAAACTAAAAATTGACTCATTCATTATGTTAGTTTATTATAAAGCGTATCAAAATCGAAATAAAATGTATTGGGTAATCCAATTTATAATCTGTTTCACAAGTCTCAGAAACTCAATTTCTAAAATTTACAGAGGTTTTCAGAAATTCGTTCAGTATGATATCATAACTGCTAAAGGTAAAGGGAAGTTGAAATTATTAAATGTTCAAAATCAGTTTTCCCCCTTTACTTCAATATTGGAAAAGTCGTCTCGGGTTTCCTTGCTAGAATGTCCCAAATTCGAATCACGGCCTTGGCAGAAACGAACATTGTCACGTGGCAGTTTGCCCCCCACCCCCTTTGCCTCCAATATTGCACAAGCGACGGAAGTGGTGGAGGTGTATAAGGTTGGTGTTTATGAAGATGTGAATATCATATTAATTACAATGTATTGGGATTTTATGACTAGGGAATATATTGATTGGCATTTTATGACAAGTGGAATGTAGGCCTATCCTATATGTTTTATTTTGTATCGAGGGAATATATAGGGGTTTTTTTTTGTCAAGGGAATATATAAGCTGGGATTTTATGACAATGGAATAGATTTAAATAGATAGGGATTTTAAAGAGAACAATATGTATGATGGAAATTTATTATTAGGGTCAAATATATGCGTTTTAGATTATCAGTGTCGCCTGTCTAACCTCGAAGATCTCTCTCTCTCTCTCTCTCTCTCTCTCTCTCCCCACCACCCCGGCCTCGCCCTTTGTCTCTCCTGAAACGATCCGTTTAGTCACGTGTTACCCCCCCCCCCTCTCTCTCTCTGTGACAAGCCAATATATCTACAATCTATCGAATATAATTGTGTTCATAACTTTTATCTATACCATCAAACTGGTCTGACTGCTTCCCTGTCAATGTTATCGAGATCACCGACTGGATCATCTTATATAGTTGGTCTATTATTAGCATTCAGCGTGATGTTTATATCGTTGCTAAGTGTACATGATGGGGAAACCTCCACCACATTCCATTCTTATTACATTTATCGACTGGGATATCCTTTTATTTGTTTCTCTACATTCCCTGAATTCCGCGGTGTTGTAAATAATCCCAAGTCAGCCATATCGAAACAATCATACTCTACATTCTTATATGACAACATCACAATAAAATGTAATTTTATGAATAATGTACACATATATATTGCGATCTATAAATTTACCGCATAAAATAATACAAAACAGGGGGGTGGTTTACTAGCTCTTGTTTCATTAATACACTTAAAAAAAGAAGTGAAACGTCATTGTAAATCTAAAATAGGTCCCATGCTGAAGGAACAGACAGATTTGCCATTATGCAAAATAAGCACGTGCTTAGGGTACGAAGAGGAATTGGATGGGGGGGGGGGGGCAGAGGTTTTCATTACAGTGCTCAATTTGCCATCGTGAAAATGATGCAACTTAACCCGGGCCCACCAAAATGATTTTGCGAACAGAAAGTCTAAATAAAAGTTATTTTAATATCAACATATAACATAAGTTTGTTTCATATCAAAGATGGCTAAGGTTTTAATTTGGATTCATTTGCAACAAGTATTGGAACCGTGCATTGTTACATGGATCTTTGTTAGTCCTGGTTATTGTCCTGCAATGTCTGTTATTTAAGAATAAAAAAAATGCTGCTCGGTGTTTTATGTATGGCACCGAACAACTCTAACAATCCCAAGACATCACAGAACCAAAATATTATTGCAAAACCAACTCCATTAAATTACCCTTATAGAAAGCCCCGGGTGAACCGGTAGGCATAACGGTTAACACACATTATTGTTTTAATATGAAATGGGACATATTTCAAATCTTTTCCCTTTCCTTGTTTTCCACTACTTTGCATTTGAGTATCATGCCATCATATGAGGAGGGGGGGGGGGGCGATTAGTTAGCACGTGCGCGCTGAATCATAAGGTCTGTCATTGAGTCAACTGGCGTGGTTTCGATTCCCCGGTTGTATGTGACAAGGAGTGGGGTCGCATATGCGCAATCTCATGGGTTTCTCCGGGTCCTCTGGTTTCCTCCCACTGTTAAAGACCCCTATGCGCAAGCGAGTTATTGAAATAAAATTGAAACATATGTTAGTCCCGAAACGACCTAGTTTGTGTCGAGTTGACGTTAAACCCCATTTCTCTCTCTCTCTCTCTCTCTCTCCCCATAATATGAGTTATATAGTTTACACTCATAATGCACTCAATAACACGGGCACAAATGTATGTTACCAAAAGAAAACTGCATATTATCATGCAATAAAATAGCAGAAGCTTGGTTGAAATTATGTAGATAATTTTGTTCCGGGTAGATATAATAATGTTTGTTGTTTTTTGACGTGTGTACGTCAACGCACCACAGGACAGGCCCAACCACCTATCAGTGTTAAGCAACCAAGTAGCTGAAACGTGTTACCCAGTTTAGCCATACACTCATCATAACATAGTGAGTCAGACGGAGAAATCTTTTACTATAGTAAATACCCCGATAACGTGCTTACCAATTACTCATCGACAACGCTGTCTGCAAGTCGAGCCACTTTTATCATTGTGAACGTTGATTTTCTAGCAGGAATTAGTAAAAGTATGACGCTTAAAGACGACATGGAAAATGCTAACAAGGAATTACAGTAAGTATAATCTTCATTAATGATTTCTGCTCAAATATATGGTATTCAATGATAGAGATTCAATTGTCAACTCTAACTGAGGTTATTTAGAGACAATCATCTTTATTTTCTTTCTAAGTAATAAAACACATGGCAGATGTTGCCAGGGCAGTGGCGGAGAATATCTCTACCTGCACGATAACTTCAAGGTTAGTGAAAAATACCGCCATTGTCAATTCTTACGGAGGTAAATCGAAATAAGCATCTTTATTGTTATCTACAGCAAAAATATATGTTAGGTGAATTCTGTCAGGGCAGCGGCACAAAACGGCCCTTTTATCACACACGCTTCATAGGTGATGAAATAGTCCGCAATAGATTATTCTAGGTTAGCTGGCATAAACAACATGGATTATCATTTGAATAATACAAACTGGGTTAATAGCTCGACGTAGTGTAAAAAAAACAGAAGCTGCACCAAGTATCTTCAGGTCAATGGCAGATATAACAAAGGATACACTATAAGCTTAGTTCACTGACACAAACTAGTGCTCATTAAGTGCATGCCTGCCACCACTCTTTATCACGCTTTATGGCCTATGGCAAAATTTGAACCACATTTAGCCCTGCATAGGCCTACTGAAGACTGATAAATGAACGCTTTCTAAACACATTTTGCCCGTCTTCCTTATCCCGGTTGGTGCAGAAAAGAAATTTTGGGTGAAAGCTTTCACTATAGAACGTAAATACATGGTATCCACCACGGGAAAAGTCCAAGGCAGTGCGCCTTGGATAACAAGGGCTAGCTAAATGCCTTGCGATTCATTATTTTTGAGGCTAAATTTAAGTCTTAGACCGGTATCCTAGGCATGGGCTTTATTTTTAACAACGTAAAATGCATATAAAAATTGTACGAATTTTCAACAATAGGCTCTGCGTGATATAATTATTATGATACAGCTATAATATATTAGGGTCATTCAAGGGTGTCAAAAAATTATTTGATTACCGTTTTCTCAGAGCTATATAAAATCTTATAACAAATTGGTGACAATATGACGTCACTGTTGCTATGTTACAAGGGAGACTAGGAACTACCTATACAAGTAAAAAATCTTACTGGGAAAACACCTGTAGATATAACACCTAGCTGAATATCCACGACTTACGTGAGCGAAGATCCCGGCAGTTCTTAATATAGATACTTGTAAACCTACATTATAATAATATGGCATGATCTCGTATGTTTTGTGGTCTGACTAGAGGTGAATCACGAGTTGAGGCGTTATGGAGAAATTTGCAAAATCCATCAATAACTTAACCGCATGGACTATAAATAGATTGCGCAAATATTATATTAGATCAATTTATCTGTTGCAACAAAAGAAGAGGGCGATATTAAAAAAGATAAATATTTATTTTGACATTTTGATAATTTGAATTGTTAAACAGTAGCCCGACCTTGGGTGTAACTTGGGCTAGACCTACTTATGAAAACATTTAATTGCTTTAAGAAAATACCAAATGGGGCGTATGGTATGGTGCACAAATTTCAAAATTATCTGAATTAACCCACTTGTTTAATCTTCTCTTCTTTCATTTTGATCTTACATTTGAAAAAAGAAAGCAACGAATCAGTATGCTTTATTGGGTTCACACAAAAAAGAACTCGATATAGGCCAAGGTTTAAAAGTTCCAAAGTTGAAAATGGTATTTAACAATTTTCAGAAATCCGCGTTAGCAACTATTCTTCATTTGCATAGCCTGCCTTCTTCGATAGGAGGCAGTTGTACTCAATGACCTGTATTGATCAGGACCACGATGACTAACGGAATCTCCAGATTTAATCAATATACCGAGGGCTTTCCCAGAGAATGTTTACATGTTAGCGCGAGAATGATGTCAGCATGACTCATTTTACAGTCGATGTGTTCATCTTATTTTGACCATGACAAATCAGAAAAACCTTGATAAATTATAAATACGTGTTGTAGTTGACTCATAGTTTTTTTTTTATATAATCGTGGACTGCACGTAGGCCCATATACATTTAAAACTTGGAATATTATCATAGGTATAATAAAACAACCGCGTGCAAGTATAGAAACTATCGGAACAGCCATTATAGTAATAAACAAACTTTAAAGATACATTACTCACTTTCAACAAGACAATAAATATAATCAAATTTAAATAACACCATGACTTGCCTAATCATCACAAAATCCAAGCAATGGCCTGCTTAGGGCAACACATTTAACACAAATGTATTAGAGCATATGCTACACTGTGTACGACTTCCAGCGATATATTGGCAGATTCGTCTCAACATTATATTTTACTTTATATAAACTCTTTATTAGGGAAATCTTGCATTTTTACAGACCGAGTGAAATGGGATTTTCATGTAATATTTTTCTGCACCAATCGAGCAAATGAACGACTAGACGCTAAAAAATAAATATTCCTTGTCAGGCCCTCCGTTATCAACCACTGAAAAATCCCGCGGCACCTTCTCGGCATTCACTGGGCCATCGTGACAACGAATCCTTGGGAATGTTACCGGTTTTCTTCACCCTGCATGTATACATTTAAACCGAAACTTAAAAAAAACCAACCAAGATATACAACTATGGTGTGCTTGTTGTCTTAAAGATTTTCAGATTCTTAGAAATGCCGACCGAAGCGTCATACTATTAGACGCAAATATTCGATAAATGGCACCCTTTAAAAATCTCATTGCTCCAATATTCATAATACCGTACATGTCACAAACAACAAACTCATGACATTAACACTGAATAAATATTGCAAAATCGTCGGACATATATATTATGACTGTTGTCACCAATATGATAAATGATAGGATAAAAGACATTTTAGAAATGCAGATTTAATATCGACATTCCGCCCACACTCCATCAGAAGCGAGTAAGGCACTGATACGCTACCTTGGAGGTCTAGGGTATGCCCCCGGTGTTTGCCTAGCAATTTCCTCGGTATTTTCCTGCGTGATTCCCCAATGTCAGTGGTGCAGGACGGAGGGTTGGGTGGGGACGAAACCCCGAGGTCCCTTGTGCACATATAAAAGAACCCTTGACAGTTGGAGTAGGCCGTTGCGCCGCTGAGGGTGTGGGCAATTTCCCTTCATTAGCCCAATCGGTGCAGAAAAGTAGGACGTTAAACCCCATTCTTCGATTTCTGTTTTTTTGTGAAGCATTTAAGTTTTTGTTTATTTTTTTTTATCTAGAATACCGACTGGAATTGGTTCATGTGTAAAACAGTGTATCGCAGACGCTGCTGTTGACAATCGTCTGAAAATTGGTGTGTTGGAATGCGCTGCATTGTTAAAATGGTACGTCTATAACTTACTATAGGTCATATACTTACTTTTCAGGGGGTGGGGGTGTTGTTGGGATGGCCTAGTGGTCTACAGTGTCACGCTTCGATCTCTAGCTGGCAGGGTACCCCGGTTTCCTCCCACAGGAAAGACCCCTGTGTGCACACTGAGCATAGTAAAATATCACCCTCAGTGGAAGAGGACGTTAAACACTAATAGAAGAAGAACTTGCTTACAGCACTCTGTATTTTAACTAACTTCATTTCTTGTTTTACTTTGGGGGGGGGGGGGGGTGACTAGACGTTGTTTATTATTACCAGTCTCTCATCATTGACTTTGGAAAATTTCTCGGCTAACACTGGAATCGAACCCGGGACCTCCTGGCTTGTAAGCAAGTGGCTTACTCACTGAACCACCATGGCCCCGAACGTTAAATCTATATATTAAACCTTACGATAGTTTCTGTCAATCATAAATACAGTTTCACAGTGGTCGCGCCGCGCCGTAAACGAATAAATGTCATATGTATTATTTATTTCGATGATTTAAGTATGAAATATGGAATTTGGCATTGAACACGGCTTTTTAATTATTTTATTTTACAGTAATGCCGATAATGTGATGTTATGTGTGCTACCCGATGCAGGAAGTGAGAATATTTCGGTCAATATTCAACACACGTTAATTGAAGCCTTCTGCCGAGAAAATGATATTAAAATTCTCAAGGTAAATACGTAACACGATTCCAGCCAAAGTAATACTTTAATATCTGTATTTATCAAATTACCATAATGCTCTAGCAGACGTTGTGACCACTTCCGAGTGCAATCATACAAATGTCAAAATAAAGGCACCGACTATGAAAATTGGGAAACGCATTATATTTAAACAAGAGTGTAAGCTTTGCACACATGACACTAGTTTACATGCCTTAAAACATTAAAAATACTGTAAAAATGAATCGCTGTTTACGTAAACAAGACATCATAGATAACATTTTCATTTCGAAATAGACACCCGTACTTGTTTCTGTACAGGCGTTTAATAAATCTGTAAACATGTGTAAAAAATTATTTGTTTGTCAAATTTAATAGGTTGGCATTTTATGTAGCAATTAGTATGAATATTGCCCATATGTAAAACACTACGCGAATTTAAAAATTGAAAAGCGTAATCAAATACGTAGATTTGCATGGCATTACGACAATTACATACGCCGGGCGATGAAGATGATGGACTGCTGAGAGGCACCCAATTGACGTAATATATGTTTTCCGCCGTTTTTATTAAATGGTTACGATCAAATAAATATCTTACAATTTAAAAGCGACGACGTCGTCCCTGTATACATAAAACTAAAATCTGACATTGATCAAAAAGGCGACGCCAAAGAAAATAAAAATTGTGACGCAGGGAAAATGACAAAAGGAATAGTATATGTATATTTTTTTTCTTGATAACTGAGTCTATTTCGGTACAGACGATGTATATTTATATCATGGTAGTCTAAATATAGAAAGTTCTTCAGCTATATATATCAGACGGCGTGATAAATCTATATAATGTCAACAGTTTGTATCATCAGCGCGCGTATCTCGTTCTTTGGCGTCGTAATTCTCGCGTCAAAGATTCCTCGATTTTTATGTAACATAAGATGTTAATTTTATGGCAAATAACTCCAAAACAGACATAAAATATACAACGCTTGTCTTGTCTCCAGTTTTCTATTAGACAAAATAATGTTCCTTAATATTTGACACATCGTGCATTTAAAGTAAAATAGACACAGCATGATATTATGATCATACAATTTTATACCCAAATAAGGCGTTGTTCGCTTTTATTGCTAGCAGGACGCCTGATTTATATACAGTCAGGTTGAGTTTTAAAACCCTATATTATTAAGGAATATCAATAGTTTGGATATATGCATGCAAATATTAGTCATTCGGATGGTAAGAAAAACTGAGGTCCTGTGTTCACTTTGATGTGACAGTTTAAATCCAATTGCTGTCCGGTCACAATTCGCCTATATAATATCACACTGAATGACGTATACCCGTCTTCATTCGCCCGGTTTGAGTAGAAAAGCAGGACGTTAAGCCCCACTTTATTCATTCATTCGCAAACAAATGTGCAATATCTGACGTTGCCAAAACGCATTGGGTTAATTTATTCTTCAATTATATAACAATAACATATATAAAATTGTTGCTAAAACATAATTATTCTATTGACCTAGATCTGTTGTACTGTTCAGACAGGAACTGTGAATAACAAGAATGAGAAAATAAAATTCATTGGCTGAACGTAATAAACCAATCATGCCGCGTTCATATTTTATGGCGTATTTTTCCGTATTACTTATTTGTGTAGGAAGTTATGGTACTCGTTTTTGCAGATAGTTCAGTAATCTTATAGGTTCCGAGTTCAAATTCCGTATACGTAGGACCAATGTGGTCTTTACCTTGACAACTGTAACGATAGCGGCGAAATTAAATGATGGCATGACCGGATATTCTCAATTTAATTCCATTCATATTAGTTATTAAAGGCAGTAAAAGAAACGTCATCAAACAAAAACATGGAATAGATATAGACACCAGTGAGACTAAAATAGGAAGAGAAATATAAAAATATATCAAATAACGATTTTTTTTTATTTACAGATTGACAGTTTCAGTAAAATATTGGTAACCAAGGGTGATGGTTACTATGGTAAACATATAAAAAACGATTACAAAACAGTTACATCTGATCTGAGCTGTCTACTGATTGAGGTATTTATTTATCTTTGTCTTCCTCATTATTTCAAATAACGCACAAAGGTTAAGTTAATGTGTTTATGTAAGCCATGTTAAATGAGTTTTATATTTACCGTACTTGATGTGAGATAAAATTATGCTATGACGTTATAGTTTACGTTACCTGTCAGTTCACAACAGAACAGACAATATAGAAATACATGTACATAGCACCACATTACAAAACCTCTTTCATGTTTCCCCAGACAGGCTATCGTGAAATATTGAAGGTGTTCTAAAATGTATAAAATAGGTATTTTGTTGTATTTCAGTATCCGAATGAGAAACTAAGCCCAGTAGACGAGGTCATCCTTCAGTATCATCAAAAATTACTACAAACATACAAACATTCTACTAAGCCTATCATCCATATTCCTGAGTGAGATCACCATATCGTAAAATGTTGGAAAAAAATCTTAATGGTGAGTTTCTATTCTATTCAAATCTTAATGGCGAATTTCTATTCTGGCCTCCTCATGTAGTCAGCTTCAACGCTATCCACTTATCTGTGCATTTACAGAATACTTAAAACCCAATGGCGTGCAGGTAGGGGGTCAGAGTGGACAGCGACCACAGTCAGCCACTTTAGGGAACATGCAATCAAAGAATGCTATAATTTAAGCTTTTTGAATTTGAAATTATTGCCATAGGCATCGTTGTACAAGCTGTCATACAATCCCACAATGTGGATCCAAGTTTTAATGAGCCAGGGCAAAGTGGACCCTACACGTTGACCATCATGGGTGGCAGGGTTTGTCATGCTATTTCCTACTCTTTTTACATTGAACACCCTAAAACCCTATTTTACACCAATGCGATGGGCAATAAATACCGACAAGAATAATATGATTTTTACAGTCTACATGTAATTTTATACTGAAGCATAACAAATTTAAATGTTTTTTTTTTCTTTATTACAGACTTCAGGTCATGCACCGCTCGAGTCTGACAGCTGCTCTGGTGCTTCTCGTTAGAACTTCCAGGGCTGCGACGTCACCAAAATGGCGTTATTGTGCTTCGCTGGCAGGAGCGCCAATCAAATGCAAGGTCACAGAAAGACACTTATGATCTTTACAAAAAAGATATGTGCCTAGATGTACTGACTGTGGGTGCTAACACGTGCATTTTAAAATCTAATTTCCATTTTTGTCATGGTGCAAATATTATTTGATCTTCGTGGAGCTGTGATTTGTAAACTCTTCATCCTTATATTCATTATCACCACGTAAGAACAAACAAGTGAATATAGACTGCAAACAAATTTGTAAATATTTCTTAGTATAAAATTGTCATTGAAACTATGTAAATAAAGCTTTTTATTTTTTGTATATTAAAAATGTATTCTTATTATTAGCAGCTGATGATGAGCGGATGGCAAATGCCGCTTCTTGCAATAAACCGGAATTTAACAAAAAACGTTAGAACAACAGACGTCCACGCTAACCGTGAACACATGCCGAGTGCATTTAAATCCGTTTAACACTTCGGAGGTCTTGGTCGAGCACATGCATTTTGGGCGAATCGCTGCGAGATGGTCAGTGTTAAACATTTTAACTGTCCTACTTAGAAAGCAGGGATGTAATGTCTTGCGGATTTAGTTCAATTTTGAGCTTAGTTGATGTCGGAGAGGGGATCTCTTCCACTGGGAATCAATTAACGGAACAGCTAATGTGAGAACCCCGTTCGTTACCTTAGAAACTATTGTAAGCGCGTGCTAAAAGTCCCGGGGATTTGTAGCTCCCTGATTGTACCCCATACACCTGCTGGCACGTGCTATTATTTGCATAAAGGTGATACTTGAAACATTAGTTGTCGTACGATGACAGATGGTACACCATGCACGCGACACGGTGACTCCCCATGACCGGGCACGCGACACCATAGCAACTAGACCCTAGACAACAAAGACCCCAACGGTTATCAACAAGGGCGATTTACATGACAAATGACTAAAAGATCAGAGTTACACTGAGCAGAACTTGTAATTATCTTCCCCATTCCTTTACACTATTCAACTTTATAAAGACCCCTGTTTGAAGAGCAAAGAAAATAGCTAGACAATGATAAACTTTTGAACTTAAATTTGAAACCCCTAATAGCGCCCTATATCACTATAAAGGCCATATGATTTCAACCGTTGGCCAGAAAGTTTTTAAATTGTAGTTTTGTACTCATATTTGAACCAATCAATGGGAAGTATCGTTAATTGTCACCCTTATTTTCAACACCGTTGTTATAAACTGGGATAATAGCCCATTTTGCAAAAGCAAACCCAACTATATTATTTTAAAAAAATGAAAGAGGCAATAATTGTAAATATCCCCTATTAAATATTGCCTGTGCATCCTCGTGGGTTTCTTCCGGTTTCCTCCCATATGCGCAAGCAAATTATTGAAATAGAATTGAACCATGTGTTACTGCTAGTCCCGAAATGACCTAGTTGGTGCCGGGTGGACACTAAACACCACCTATAAAATAAAACCAAGTACGAACAATCCAAACCATTAGACAAAATTCGAAGTCCTAAAAAAACGGTATAGGCAAAATAGTGTAATAAGGCAAAATAGTGTAATCAGCATGAAGTGTAATGTCACTCTATATTAATAGTGATATCAGTTAATTATCAAGCATCAATTATTGTTTTCTGAAAAATAAAATTCAGGAATTGTAGCCTAATGAGTATATTAAACATTAAACCTTGCACCAACAGCTTCAAAAACCCACCCGAAAAAAAACTAAAATAAAACCCCTAAAAAATCATAATAATAATAAAAAATATTAATTAAAAAAATAAAATAATGAACAACTGACTGATTTTAAATTAAGCTCTTCATATAGTTCACTTGCGCTGTCAACATATTTCATTTTATTAGCTGTCAATTTACTAAATGCCAACCCCAACTTCACGTGTTACCGTTATCAATCATAATTAAGGGTTTATAGGTCACACTTAAATGGCCTGTAATAATTATTCACTAATTAATAATCAAAATGATCACATGTATTTTTGTTGTTATTCCGTTAGATAGTTACAGTAGTGTGACAAGATTAGGTCGAAAGGTCACGGGGTTTCGAAAAGGATAAAAACAGCTGGACATGGAAACATCTGCTACCCATGTTGACCGGCTCACTGCCCTCATATGCAAATAAGCTCTAACCCCGACCAATAATAGGGGATTTGAGCTGTCGTTTATGAATTATGCTGAAGTGTCACATTCTAATTCCAATTAATTAACAGCCACCACTAGTAATTCAAAGGACGGAGGGCCTGACAAGGTCAGCTGTTTAGTCGTTCGGATGGAACGAAAAACCGAGGTCCCGTGTACACATTGGCGTGCACGTAAAAGATCCCTTGACAGTTGGAATTCGATATAAGAGTAGGCCGTAGTGCCGCTGTCCGGGCAAAATTTCCATCATAGCACACTGTATATGGTGTATGCCCGTCTTCATTAGCCCAGTTCGGAGCAGAACAGTAGGACGTTAAACCCCATTTCATTTCATTTCATTTTAGTAATTCAAAACCACAAGAGTCCATGTCTTTAGAGCTGGCTCACTAAACAATAAACAGGAGAAATGTTCGTTGAGATTCACCAGTCTTGTTTCTACTTGTCAGTGGTGAAATTACAGCGGGCCTGACAAGGAAAAACGTATAAATCATTCAGTATTCTGGAGATGAAAACAAAGATTAGGTCGTAAAGCCACTGTTATAGCAAACTTCAACTTACAGATCATTGCACTAGCCCGGCTGGTTCAGAAATGAATACGTTTCATTTCCGATTCCTAACCGATATTCGATGCATGTGCATTCCTCGCTGTTGGACTAAATGGCAATTACATGAATTTTACGCCATATGCTTTCAATGTAAGTTAGGACCCCTTCACGTGCAGCCTAATATTACTATATTAAAGTTTACCGAGAAAGAAAACTTGCCAGTGAGTCAGCAAGTTTAAACATACCCCCCTGACGCAAGATTTCGTTTTAAATTTTAAAGCTATTCATTTAAAAATCATATAATAGCGGTATGTATTATAGTATCTGTACAGACATGTTCCATGTGTCAGCTGTGCGTTTGTATCACGTATGTCCCATCTCAGCAACGGTGATTTATTTGGCTGAACCTACCAATACATTCATAAGAAATAATTTTGTGCATTTTAAGTTTTAATCGTTTCGTGAAAACAGCACAATATCAAGTATTAATGATTCTAGCATGGGTCTTCCCATCACATCAGATGAAATTGTACTGTAGAAAACTATTTTGCAGGCATGCAGACCGTGACACAATATAAATGTAATATGCATATTGTTATTTTTAGGGTTATTTTTTTAGAGTATTATTTAGTTTATGATTTCAAATTGTTGTACATTTTTCTTAGTCAGAATTTGTAAATATTTTCTACGCGTTTGCTTCATATTATAAGGTCGGTATATGTGACGATCTTCTAGACGTTATCTTACAAGTTTTAACATGGTCCAACATTGCCGTAATGTCGTCATTGGGGTAGAACGGACATAGTCTGGAGGGCGACAATGGGGTCTCCCTAAATACGTAGTTTTTGCTTTCTTTACAATTATCTTCGTTAGCATAATACATTATCATTTGAGATAAATACAATCCCGTGTGAACCAGTTTAGGGAGGTTATATCGCAGGCGTAGGGGAACTTCTGGTCTAGAATTAAAGCCATAGGGAAAATATGCAAAGTGCATCAACATCTCCAAAATCTTTTATTTTCTCTAAAAAGCGAGCTATTGAAAGCATCTGTATAGATCAGTACAAGAAATTTTCTGGGATAGTCTATACACATTCGTAAAGTATATCATGTTGTAACTTGCAGAGATTCCCACACCTTTCTGACATTTGTGGATGTTGCTCTATGGGCGTATGCAGAATTTTTGAAAATGGTGGATGGGTGGGGTGGGGCTATCATAATTCCCGCCGAGTGTCCTTTTATAGTAATTTTTCCGAGAAATCCCCCGGCCCCGACCACGTCAATGTGTACGATTTCCTGTTTGTGCCTTCTGAGGTTTCATAACCTTTTATGTAATATATTGGCAACCTTGTAGTATGATTCGCAAATCGACCAACGTTGGTATATAAAAGACTTTTGTATAGTTTGATATGGTTCAAAATAAATGAACAGTCGAGTTTTCTTTTAATAATAATTACATACTGTGATAAGATCGCATTAAAACGCACACGGCGATCAGCACATAATTTACATAATCACATTCTTGCAACACTCATACTCCACAAACAAACATACGTACATAAAAAAACTACTTTATAGCAAGTTGATATATCACAGAGTTTTCCAACAAAAAAGCCATCAACAAAAACAAAAACCATGTTTCGACAGGCAAAAATAGTTTGGGATAGCGATAATAATAATACAAGTTTTAACAGATGTGACAAATACATTGATGTGGACAATATAATGATAATATTGTGAACAGTTTTAATCATCATAGCGTTCCGATTCTAGTGTGGGCGACATATCCAAAACAAGGCCAATAGAGGGCTACCCTTCTGTATCAGTGCCTGCTCTTGTTGAGATATCTTCATATACTGAATCAAGACTGCTAAAAGAAAGAGATAGATGTCTTTAACAGCAACACTCCCTTACATAAATTAGTGTTATATATCTGTTGCTATGTCTGAAGTCTGGCCTGTTGTATAACACAGTCAGTACATATTGCATGAATTATAGATATAGTTTTCTTACTTTCTCGCACTCCCTGTGTATCACTTTACCCCACGACCTTATTTACGAGATATCTGCTCTCTGCGAAACAAACATGGAGAAATAACGTAATGAATAATCCAAGAGTATAATAAAATTACATGAAATCACGATCGAACATGGCCACTTTATTAAAGATGCATTAAGTAAGACTTAGATAAGGGGTTGTCCGTTCTTGCTAAATTAGTTTAAAAACAGATAATGGAAAATAAATACATTGAAATTTTCAGTCAAATTACTTTATCAATGTTTGAAGTTTGACAAGAAATAAGGGAAAGTCTTGATTGTCAAGTACCACAGCTACGATAATAAACGTAGTCTCCATTTTTCACTTTAACGTTTAAAGGAGGCAAGTCGCTAATTCATCCACAGTCTTCGAAATTGCAAAACACTTATTGGTCAATTTAAATCAACCTTAATGTCGTTGTATTACGGTGAAAAGATGGGCTTCTGATGTCCAATATTTAAGACAAAATAAACATTTTAAAATTGACACCCAAATTGCGTGCCATAATGCCTTCGAGCGCCATTTGTAGAAAAGCGACTCGATGAACGAGG